CTGAGCACTGGGTGTGCATGCAAAGCAGGCTGGATGCTGGGGTTGGTCCGTGTTTCTTCACAGCCACCTGACAGTCCTTTTTCATGCCTGTTCCTGGTTTCAACATCCCACTAACCCACTTAGGAGGAAAGGGTTAGGGCTGAGCACTCTTGGCTCTGCGTGACATGTTGGCCTTGGATTGCTCATGCCTCAAATGCTGCTTCTATAATTTTGTTACGCAGCAAAACAGTGTATAAAAATGATCTGATTATTTTGGAATTATTGCCCATTTGTATTATGTCTAGAATGACAAAAGACAGTCTCCCACCAAAAGCATGCTCAGTCTCAGGTTGCACCAAACAGATTTGTAGAGTTCCTCCAGCTCCCCAGGTGAGCACCAGGAGCTACACAGGACATTGCCATCTGGGATAACTGGAGCAGGCACAGCAAGTGCAAGTCACCCACTAGAAGGTGTCAGTAGTTTGGTCAAGGGATTACACTGGCTCTTCATAGTGCACTATGTGCGTGTGGGCAAATACTGCATTTAAAGTATAACCCTAGGAATCTCAATGAAATCCTTACATTAATAGCATTGCTCATTTCATGGGATCCCCAAATGGTTTGGGCTGGAAGGCACCTTGAAGATCCTCTAGTTGCAACCCCCCTGCCATGAGCAGGGCACCTTCCACTAGACCAGGTTGCTCCAAGCCCCATCCAACCTGGCCTTGAACACTTCTAGGGATGGGGCAGCCACAGCTTCTCTGGGCAACCTGTGCCAGTGCCTCACCACCCTCATAGAATATAATTTCTTCTCAATATCTAATCCAAACCTGCTCTCTGTCACTTTTAAGCCATTTCCCCCATGTGCCCCATCAGCACAGGCTCTTGTAAAATGTCCCTCTCCAGCTCTGCTGTAGGCACTGGAAGGTGCTCTAAAGTCTCTCTGGAGCCTTCTTTTCTCCAGGCTGAACAACCCCAACTCGCTCATCCTGTCTCCACAGGGGAGGTGCTCCAGCAGCTTAAGCATCTTCATGGCCTCCTCTGGACTCACTCCAACAGGTCCACATCCTTCCTATTTTGGGTGCCCCAGAGCTGGATGCAGCACTCCAGGTGGGGTCTCAAGGAATCTTCCCAGTGAGATAGTGTCTGGTTTGTGCAGCAGATTTGGTGCTTAGTTATGTGAAAGCTCTCTGATTTCATACTTTAAGCCTACAACATGCACACATTTTTGTAACCATAATACGCAGCACTCTTGCTGTGTATCTGAACTGTGGTCTTGCAGAGAGTTAAGGTTTAAAAAAGCATTAAAAAAAAAAGTGGAGCTCAAGGAACTGGTGATCCCAAAAATTGTAGGAAAACAAAACTCCTTCCCTCTCCTGCCAATTGTGTGAATCCAACTCACCTTTCCATCAATCAGTCTAGAAGTTTTCTGAAGGGAAAGACTCTATTGTAACAGTTTGAGACTGTTTTTACATAACTGTGATATGAAATTCATATGAGGTATATGATTGACCACTAGGCACTAGACTGCTACTGGCTGTACCCTATTGAAAGGGACTTTGAACTGAACTTGCCCTCTCTTCCTCATCTTCAAATCTGGACAAAAAATACCACGTCTGAAAGGACATGAGTTTCCCTTATGGAAATTCTTCCTCTCAAGAAGATTGATTTAATTTTGGGCTTTCTGTCTACAGCCCAGAAAGGTAAGTAGAGAAGGAAATGAACAAGTGATACTTGGAAACAAACTCTGAACCCAAAAGCAGGGTTTGCTTTGAAACATCGTCCACTTCAACTGCTTTACTGGGAATGCAGAAGGTGAATAGAGATGAGAGGATGCAGCAGGGATTGAACTGAGCAGCAATTCTTATAAGGTACAGGAGTGACTTAAGGAATTAGTACTCAAATCTTCAGAGGCCTCCCTGAAAATCCAATGACCTGACACAGAAGGTCCCAGCCTTCAGGAGCTCCACAGGGACAGATGTCTGAGGTGGTATCCACCTATTAAAGTGGGGGACTCAGCACAAGGGATCTAATCCAGCTAAGCCTCAGCAGGTCAGGGAGCTCAGAGACCTGCAGGCACAGCGAGGCAGGAGGGAGAACACGTCTGCAGGAGGCACAGCCGGTGTCCAACAGCAACCAACCCCCTCCACCTGTGCCTGGTGGGAGCAGCAGCTCGGGTGTGTGGTTACTTGTGACCTGCAGGGACCTGATCACTCAGGAAGATGGTGTAACCTTGGAAGATTTTAGGGGAGGTTTAGGTTGGATATTAAAAAGGTTCTTCACCCAGAGGGTAGTTGGGCACTGGAACAGCCTCCCCAGGGCAGTGGTCACAGCACCAAGGCTGACAGAGTCCAAGAAGCGTTTGGATGATGCTCTCAGGCACATGGTCTGACTCTTGGGGATGGTCCTTTGCAGGGCTAATGGTTGGACTCGATGATCCTTGTGGGTCCCTTCTAACTCAGCATATTCTGAGATTCTGTGATTATTGCTAGGCAGGAACTACAAGGGGGATGAAACTGGAAGAGGAGACTGGGTTGACAGTTGGACTTGATGATCTTAGAGGTGTTTTCCAATCTTAATGATTCTATGAGTCTATGACTAGTTACCAGTTCAGCTACTGACTGCCAGCAGCCAGCCCAGTATGGAAGATTTGGGCTGCCATCACCTTGCCTTCAGCAAGGACAAGAAATTGGGCATGGTTTGCCTTATGGAACACTACCCAGTGACATGTAACTCCATTATCTTTCCCTTTCCTTCCTCTGTGTAAATCCATTTGTTGGAATTGCTTGCATGCTGGTGGGGAAGTGCTGTCCATTAGGCACCCAACTGGTTTAATGCAATCTCCCATGTTCTTGTGACTGTATTTGGGTATTACCTGAATGAGAACCCCTGGGGATTGAAACTGGGTCCTGTTACTGCCAAGCAGCAGGAAGGCAGGAGGTTTACATTAGATTACCATTTAATCTGAGTGGTTGTCAATAGAAGAATCTGCTTCTTTCAGTCACATGTTCTGAACATATGTAAGGCATACACATAATTTAAAACTGACAAGGAGACATACAAAGCTCATTCATTTTACAGCACCAACACTGAGACCTAAAAAAAGAAAAGTACAAAAATAATCTTACTCTGCACTTAAGTCTTCCATTCTTTTAACTTAAAAAAATACATTCATTTTCTTAACAAAAGTACAACTCTGATAATCAACTAAAATAATGAGATTTTTGAAATATAAAAATAGTCTGCTCCATTTTATCTACAGCTTTCTCTTTTCTTGTAGCAGTTCCCATTGCTGCTACCATATGCAAAGTGAGGACTGAGTACACCTCAGGGAGATAAAGATCACATTGTCTCTCTGGAGAAGAGGAAAACAGTTTACAATCAACTGAGTTTACCTAGTCTGAATTCAGACTGGGTGTTGTGCAATTTAGAAGCAACTGCACAACTGATCTAGAAATAATATATTAAGCCACATTCAAATAATTCTATTCAACCCCAGCCAGTAGTTCTGCAACCCTTTTATCACTGGGCTAAGGATTCAGCTTATATAAACTGACACGGACCCACTGCCTTGTAGCTACAGATTTATAGAAGCTGAAAACATAACCCATTAAAAAACATTAACAGCCTTTATTGAGACTTCTGTTTGTTTTTAAAGCTGACTATTCAGAAATACACAAATATTACAGAATAAATCAAACGCCCAAAACTGTTTTCTGTGATGTTTTGGAGCTATGTGATATTGCTTCATAACTTACCTACATAACTTACTTCAAAGTGCAGTAAATCTGCTATTTCAAATTCCATCAGACTCAAAATTGTAAACAGGCTTATGGTTTTTATTGCTTTAAACATATATGCCCCAGGCATACAAATCTTGATTTATCAAAAAAACGAAACAAGAACAAAGAGCCTTAGATGTCAATTCAACAGAAATCTTAAATGTAGTTAACTCTTACCCACACACACTCAAAATATATCCTTAGAAGCTCACTCATGATCAAGCATTTTGCTGAATTAGGACAGTTCATATGGCTGAGACTTCAAACTTGCCTGACAAAGTTTCAGTACTAAACTTAAGGAGATACTCAGAGCTGCACTGATTTTACTGCAGTGTCCTTCAATAAAAGCTTTCCCAGTTTCCAGTCCCAGCACTGTGAGTCACCTCCCAGGTGGCCCTGAGTGAAGTACTTGTGGCCACACCCTCCAAGTCCTCCCAAACAGTGGCAAGCCAGTCCTCCAAAGGCACTTCTGGTACAACACAAAGGCACCCTCTCACAGAGTCATACAGTGAAGGCAGTGAGCTGAAATTCATGTCTTGTCTTGTGCTAATTTCTTTGAGGTGAACAAGCCTTTAACTCTTAAATTCCTCACTGTTCCTTCCAGATTTAGATACATCTTCAGAGTCCAGTAATTTTAGCTTAAGCTTGGAGCCAGTCTCTCAAGGTCTCTGTACTGACTACAGAAGCCCAGAAAGAGCAGATCTCAACTTAAGTGCTCCGGAAGGTGCCTGAGGTTAGGTGTGTCTTCATCTACAAAATGTGTTCAGCAGTGTGAATCTACAGTAGAAATGAGGTTTCAGTTAATGTATCTAAAGCATGATAACATCCCTGACTGAAAAAAAACACCACTTAAAAGGCAGGTGTAGCCTCATTATTATAAAATAAGTGCAAGTTGAGATTAACAGCTATGCCATTGTGTTTGGTGAGGCAGGGAGCCTACACCACGTGAGAAATGGTACCATGATTATTTAAAGGCCAAAATTTACAGACATTTGAATGATATTTTTTGGAATGATAATTTTTGGAGCAGACTTCTGATTTTGCATATCCTGAGTGCAGATGTTGATTTTGAAAATGTTCTCATTCTCTGAGAGAAATCAGTTTACAGGTTTCAGAAGCAAGAAACATCAGTAACACAAATTGTAAGGTTCTGTTTTATATAAAATCTATGAAGTTAAATTACCTCAAAATCTCTTTCAGAAAAAACTCTTGCATCAGTTTGTCTGCATCACTGATTTGCTTCATTTCAAAACAAAATAAATCCTAACTTTATATAATATATACTTCAGTATTCCCAAGTGCTTCCCAAACACGCTAGTGTGCAAGTTGCAGGTAGAGATTGTGCTCAAAATCCACCCCAGCCTCCAAGGGTGAAATATATTGTGAGTTAATATTTGGGTGGTGCATCAGGAATTGGACTCAATGGCCCTCATGAGTCTTTTTTTCAATTCAGGACATTTTATAACTCTATGGTCACATTTACACTTTTTTTCCTCTTGACCTACAAATCCATAGAATCTCCTGTGCAACGAGATCACAGTTTTCCATTAATCATTGAAAAACAAACAAAAAACCCTCAAGCCTTCAATAGCTTGCTTTCCTGACCACATGTAATGTCCTTTTTAGCACAGTGCACAGAGTTAGTGTATATTTGCACGGTGGTGTCCTCTCTTGATTTTGTTATTATGTCAGAATCATTCTTTATCCTTTTTGATAAAATGTGAGCAGAGAAATGACCTAGAAAACTCTCATGGGGTTTGTTGGTAGGAAGTGAGTCCATATTTGGAAAGTCACTGTGTTCAGAGCTTTCAGACTGAGGTGTCCTTTTTGTGCTCATCCAAGTTCTCTGTGCTTTGATAACTCCTCCTGTTTAAAGCAGAGCAAATGACACATGAACACACTTCTGGCTTTTGATGCTAACTAGCCAAACTCAGTTTGGCAATCTCAAAGAGCTGACAACCTCCAGTAAGGTGTGGTTGTTAGGGACAGCGACTGAAGCTCCTAAACAGAGGGATCAGTCCCAGTTTTGGGTTGTTGACCCTGTACCCTCCAGTCTGCAGCTGCCATTGAAAAAAAAGCAGCTGGTGTACCAGAGGCCTGTGGCATATTTGCAAACCCCATGCAGGTATCTTAGATACCTTAGGGCATGAACTGGTCCCAGATACACATGCTTAGGTCTTGGAATGGATCCCTTAGCATGGAAATCAGTTCCCAATTCCAGTAACTTGGTATAGTAAAAACAAGACAGAAATAACAGCATACTCTGATATTTAATCCATCAATCTGCTAGGATAGACTGTTCTTAGGGATGTCCTCAGTATAAAGAGGCATCATTTGACAGAGGTGGATAAATTTGAGCTAGACAGAGATTATCTTTGGAGAAGGAGGAAAGGGGAGGAAGGGAGGATAAAAAGGCAAAGAATAGCTCAAAGCTGACCTCTCTTTTTCTCCCACAGTCTTTTCTGCCCACGCCTCTAAATGGTTTGGATATTTCTTATATGCCATAAACACCAAGAATGCAGTCAACAATCCCACTTCTTTTCTATATACAAGTAAATTTTAACTATTCATATTTTCTCCAGAAATTTAATCCACACAGAATATTCCTCAGTTATGGCTTGAAACACTGTACCACAATAGTGCTTTGTTAGCCACCCCAGAGAAAGAGTAAAACACAGCAGCTGATATTTCTGATAAATGGTATTCTAAGCAGGTCATACGACACTCCAAAAATAAGATACTGGAGTATGTAACGCTACCATCCTGTTAATAATTTGACTAATAGAGTGTTGTTTTGTTTTGTTTTAAGGAATACAGAGGTGCATGTTGGCAGTTAATGATTTTTTGCCCAGTATGACTGAGAGCTACTGGAGGGACGTTGCTCCCGTTTGCTGCCAGTCCAAACCCACCTTAACTCTTCCAGCGCAAGCTTTGTTTCTTTCCGGCTTTGTTCAGTGATTGGGTAGAAAAAGAGTATAAATAAACCCAGAAAGATGAGGATACCAGGGACCGCTCCAATGAGGATTTTCAGGGTGAGGATCACATCATCCGACTGTCTGCATATCCCTGGTTTGTATCCAGTAAACCTAAACAAATGGAAATAAGTGGTGTGTGTATGTTCAGAGTCAAAAGGCAGTTCATCTGAAGCCTTCTTTCTCTCCCCCAACACTCTTCAAGACCTTTTCTCCATTTTTCCTACACCCCTCTTTTTTCCTTTTCCCCACTGTATGTTTCAAATATTATTGTTCAAAATTCATTTTTGCGCTCAACTTCAGATAACTGTGTTACCTCTGTATTTTCTCATTATTATTATTATTATATCATATTTAAGTTAATTATTGCTGTTGAAACTGGTCAAATTACCTGCATACTTCTAAAGCAAGAATCATGGAATCCCATGTAAGGAAATACACTGATGCACAGGGAGTTCCACCTGAATATAAGGAAGAACTTTTTCACTGTGTGAGTGACCAAGCACTGGAACAGATTGCCCACAGAGGGTATGCAGTCTCCCTCACTGGAGATATTCCAGAACCATCTGGACACAATCCTGTGCCATGTACTCTGGGATGACCCTGCTCGAGCAGGGAGGCTGGACCAGATGACCCACTGTGGTCCCTTCCAACCTGAACCATCCTGTGACTCTGTGGTTCTGTGAAATTATCTGTTACGTGTTTCCTAATTAATATTCAGTGAAGTATTTAAGCTCTGCTTTAAGAGTATGCAAGCAATTTGACCAATTTCAGCAGCAATAATTAACTTTAATTTAAACACACACTTAAACACTCTTCTCAAGATAGACAAATTTACTCAAGTGCTTAGAGTTAGGTATACACTTATACTTCATTGATTCAGGGCTTCCATGCAGTCCCACAATTGCTGATATACTCAAATTCCTATTTCCAATTTGTGGAATGAGTTTTTCCTCTGAACATGCACCTAAAAAAGCGACAGCTCATTTGGCATCTCTCTGTCTTCTGTGTTCTCCCACAAACATCTGCCTTGGCAAATTGCTGGAAGCTAACTGGGATGCAACCAAAAACAGGCTAATTGGGGAACAGCAAATTGTTTGAGCGTTTTAGCAATAAGCAGTTAAAATTCCTAAGCCCAAAATGTTGAGCCAAGCACTGACTGTAATTTAGCAATTTCAGCTGAAGGCCCTGAAGCAAAACATTCTGCTTACCAAAACCTAATATGGAGACAAGGGTTAGATAGTATTTCAGACAAGTTCCCCTCTAAGTGTTTATTGTAGCAGGGACAGGCACAGGCCAGTTCTGCCAGATCATGCACAAAGGCAGGGCAGGGGATGCCTGTCCGCTTTCTCAACCTGTCTAGTCAGAACAGACAAGACAAAAGTGGAGGGAGAACATAAAGCATCTTTCAGAATGACATGGTGAGGGGCAGAGCTGTGAGAAAGACCATTTCTGACTCTGATCAGTGTCCAATTCCCTGAAACCATGTAGGAATTGGTGACCCTTATACGCCAAACAGGCCACTGGCACCCCTGAAAGCACTGCAGCCCATGTAAAGACCTGTAAGCTTGTACAGATAGTCCAGGTGCGGCAGGGAATGCACAAAGCAGCTGTGTCACATCTGTGGGACCTTCATCTGCTGTGCTTTCATGTTTAGTTCTTTATTCATATAAGCCACTAAAATTTACATGAGTAATTTGAAAAGAGGAAAATATAGAAGGAAGTCAAGTCTTTCTGAACTAAAACACGCCAGGGCAGTCAACTTAATGCTCAGCAGTCTAGTCTAGATGGTAACAATCCTGTCTTTAGTGGTCAGCCATCTGTAGCTGCTGGCACTTCCAGGCTCAGGGCAAAAAGGCAATTAACTCCACAGGGTAAAGGTGGAGCAACCTCAGAATGCTTTCAGAGTAGCTCCAGTAAGTGGAAACACAGTGTTACTTACTCCAGTCCTGCTGCAGAAATTCCTAAGCCAATTCCTGCTGACATCTTGGTAAAGAAAACATAAGAAGAATAGAAAATGGTTTCTTGTCCTTTTCCATGAGGATTCTGCAGGCGAAAGTTATCAACAACATCAGGCAGCATTGACCTAGAAGTGAGCAAAATAAAAGAAAAACTCAAGCCAGAATTTCTTTCTAAAGTCCAAACTTAATGAAATAGAGTACAGCCCTCTTCCATTTCTAGGGGTTGATTGATATAGTGATGCACATGAAAGAATCCAGTTCAAAAAGTTCTACTGCTGGACAGGAGGGGGGAAAATTGTGTAAGTAAAGCGTGGTCACGTATTACAATGTAGAAAACCACTGAAAAACTATCAAACACTTGCTGAGAGGTGACAGAATTTCTTAGTCTGACTGTCATTCCAATCAGAAGTTCAAAAAGTTCAAAAGAACAACAAAAAACCCCATGTTTCTTAAGCTTTCAAGTGCCTCTGAATCTCTGAATAGTTTCACTGTGAAATAACTCTTCTGACAAGCTAACAACATTTTCAGAAACCAATGAGCCCTATTCTCTCTACTTCAAAGAAACTGGATTTGGTAATGGGGAATCAGAATGGAAGCTGCCCAAAAGTCAATTGGGAATTGATATTTTACTTCCAATATATGTCATGATTTACTGTTGGAAAACGGGGCTTCTCACCCGCTGTGCAGAAGTCTTACGAAGTCTGACAACTTACTTCAAACTATGTATTCCATGATCTCTTGGAGTTTTCAGGGCATTGTATAAATGAGTAATGTAAAACAATGCTCACAGCAGCAGTCTTGCTTTCTGGTCAAATTGACCTGAAAATAATTATTTAATCTGAAGAGGAAATGCTCCACCATGCTCATGCTTGAGTAGATTTTCCCCTCATATTTTCAGTCCTCAAGTGCAAAGGACCTTGAATTCTTTATTTCTTTTAATCATAACCTTGCGTTATTTGATCTCTGACAGAGGATTGCTCAAGCAGGGATACACAGAATCATAGAATGGTTTGGGTTGGAAGGGACCTTAAGATCCTCTAGTTCCAACCCCTTGCCATAGGCAGGGACATCTTCCACTAGACCAGGTTACTCAGAGTTCCATCTAACCTGGCTTTGAACACTCCCAGGGATGTGGCATTCACAGCTTCTCTAGGCAACCTGTGCCAGTGCCTCACCAATCTCACAGTAAAGAATTAGTTTCTAATATTTAGTCTAAACCTGCCCTCTTTCAGTTTAAAGGCATTCTCCCTTGTTCTGTAACTACCCTTATAAAAAGAAAGGTTAGGCACAGTTTGCCTTATGCTTCCTCTGCTACATTCTTAATTGCTCAGCATTAATTTATTTACCAAACTTCATAATTCCTGTTATCACAAGTTATATAGCTACTTAGATTATTGATTCATCTACATACTCTTGTGTACAAAGAGCAGCTACAGCTATAGCAGATTTAACCTGTTAACAATAGGGCAGCCAAAGTCACATCATTGCAAATTATAAAAGAAGAAAAGATTATTGGAGGAGATGACTCTTGCCAAATTCTGCCTTTTTCAGAGGCAAATTCCATGCAGTAGTGCATACATGTAGTGTAGAGATATATCCCTTCCCCACCTCAAATGTAAAATTCTCCTACCATGGCAACAGAAGAGATGCTGCAATGCTCAGACCAGAGACGAAAGCCACGAGGTAAGCCAGGATCAGGTTTGGAATGGTCACTAGCATGACTGCGAAAGGAATCATCCACTGAGGAAGAAGAACAGCATTACATCCAAGTTACAGTATGCACTGCTCAGTGGGGTACAGATTGTTCCCTTCAAAATATGAAATTGTGTTACAAAACAGTTCATACACAGCAATGTCTGACATTTCAGCATTTCCAAAGAGGCCTGAGCAAATGTGTACTTGTGTATCCAGAAGAATCAGAGAAAAGTAGGACAAGTCACAGTAGTGCTGTCTCTTAGCAGTATTAGGGCTATAACTGCACTAGCAAATTCAACAGTCCCAAGAGACTATTTATCAGTCATGAGGTCAACTGACAGACCCTGGTCGTAATCATACCCCTAAACATTCATACTCTCCGAAAGACATGTGGCCATATAAATACTTTTTGTGAAGAGCCCTGGAGTGAGTTGATTCCCAAACTGTGGCCAGGTAGAACCACAGAATCACAGAATATGCTGAGTTAGAAAGGACCCACAAGGATCATTGAGTTCAACTCATAGACCTGCACAGGACCATCCCCATTTGCCTGAGAATATTGTCCAAATGCTTCTTGAACTCTGTCGGGCTTGGTGCTGTGACCACTGCTCTGGGGAGGCTGTTCCAGCACCCAACCACCCTCTGGGTGGAGAACCTTTTTCCAATGCCCAACCTAAACCTCCCCTGACACAACTTCAGGCCATTCCCTCCAGTCCTGTCACTGGTCACCACAGACAAGAGATCAGTGTTTGCCCCTCCTCTTCCCCTCACAAGGAAGCTGGGAAGGGACCTTGAAGGTGATCTAGTTCCAACCCCCCTACCATGGGCAGAGACACCTTCCACGTGACCAGGTTGCTCAAAGCCCCATCCAATCTGGCCTTGAACACTTCCAGGGATGGGGCAGCCACAGCTTCTCTGGGCAACCTGTGCCAGGGCCTCACCACCTTCACAGTAAAGAATTTCCTCATAATAACCAATCTAAATCTACCCTCAGTCAGCTTAAAGCCATTCCCCTTGTCCTATCACTCCCTGCCCTTGTTAAAAGGTCCTCTCCAGCTCTCTTGTAGCCTCTTCAGGTATTGGAAGGTGCTACAAGGTCTCCCCAGAGCCTTCTCTTCTCCAGACTGAACAGCCCCAACTCTCTCAGCCTGTCTCCATAGCAGAGAGCATCTTCGGGGGCTCCTCTGGACTCACTTCAACAGGTCCATGTCCTCCATACATTATGGGCCCCAGAGCTGGATGCAATACTCCAGGTGGAGTCTCATAAGAGTGGAGCAGAGGAACAGAATTCCCTCCCTCAGCCTGCTGCCCATGTTGCTTTTGATGCGCGTGGACTTTTGAGCCACAGTTGGCTTTCAGGATTGCAAATGCACACTGACAGGTCACATCGAGTGTCTCGTCAACAACATCCCAAAGTTCTTCTCCCCTCAGGGCTGCTCTCAATCCATTCTCAGCTCAGTATGTATTTGTGCTTGTGTTTTTCCCAACCCATAAGCAGGACCTTGCACTTGGCCTTGTTGAACTTCATGAGGTTTGCATGTGCCCACCGCTCAAACATGTCAAAGTTCCTCTGGATACAATCCCTTCCCTCTAGCATGTCAACTGCACCACACAGCTTAGTGCCATTAGCAAACTCGCTGAGGGTGCACTCAATCCCACTGTCCGTGTCATTGACAAAGATGTTAAACAGCACCAGTCCCTGTACTGACCCTTGAGGATGACACTCATCACTGCTCTCCACTTGGACATTAACCTGTTGACCATAACTCTTTGGATATGACCATCCAGCCAATTCCTTATTCACTGAGTGGTCCATCCACCAATTCCATGCCTCTCCAGTTTAGAGGCAACAATGTGAGGGACAGTGTCAAATGCTTTGCTTAACTCCAGGTAGATGATGTCAGATGCTCTTCCATTATCCATGAACGCTGATAATTCTTGAAAGATTGCTAATCAGCTTGGGTAAAGATTTTGCTGCCAGTTTAGTAACAGAGATGATGAAGTACCAGTTTCTATTCTAGGCCAGTGGAACTGTTTAATTTACTATTAGTGACAATGCCTTGAAACACCGTCACACTGCATTTCAAGGGAAGTGGGAGGGCTTCAATGGTCATTTTAAACTGTAAATATACCATTTCATGGATGATCTTGAATGCAGAAGAATTTGCTTACACCTTCATTTCCAATGATGACTTTAAGGCCACACAGGTAGTCAGCAATAACTAAACCCAGGAAGGTGGTTTAGTCCCACCCCACACAGCCAGATACACTCATGACATTGCACAAGTCACCAAGGTTACCCTCAAAACCAAACTAAGTTGGGATGCTCAGGATTTTTTTTCTTGGCAGTACTTACAAGCACAAGATTTCTTCAACTTCATCTTGAAGCAATGAGCTGGCAGGATTGAAAATCCACTATTTTAAATGCTGATTGAATGCATGTGGCCCAGCTGTCCTACACCCATCACATGCTCCATCTCCCACGCCTGTGAACCATGGGTACAGCAGCACATGCAGAACCCAGAAGCAGGGGGTTATCTACAGGGCTTTTTAATGATGGGGGATTAGTTTAACATTAAGTGCTTCAATCCTCTATACGTGCAGCTTGGGAGCTGAGGGTATGAGAAGAGCTTTCACAGAGAGTGATTCCCCTAGGCACTGCTATTTACAGTTCTGCATGATAAGTGATTCTGGGAGTCCTGGAGTCTAATCCATTATGTTTATGTTTTAAATGCATTTCCCATCTACAGCATTTTCTCCCAGCCTAAGGAGGAAGAAAATAACCTCTCCTGACTGTAAGTTCTCAGCACAGGCAGATAATCCTTGCATTAGCCCAATGTTGTGGCAAAATCATTATTTCACCACAAGAGAGCACTCCAGCAATACAAGATTTTATGTTATCTATAAGCAATTTTATGACTGCCTTGTAGTCCACATGGGGCACCCACTCAGAAACCAAAGCACTTAAACAAAATTCTAGATCAATAATAATAATCATTGTAACTGTAATTTCCTACTGAAAGAGAAGCACGACCTGCAGGACTGAGGTTACAATGCCCTAAAGTCTTGCTCATGCAATGGCAGCGCAGTCATGGGGGCAGAATTCCTGCTGCAATAAACAGCTAACACACCTCTTTCTTTCTTATTTGTACAGTAATTACTCTGTCACTGGCACCTGCTCCCTTGTCATAGGGCTGCTGCTGTCCAAGTCATAAATGATGTCCTGTGGTTACCACGTGTCTTCCATTCCCTGACAGCACTATGGAAGGCGACCCTGCTGGGATGCTAAAGGTGTTACTGGTCTGTGCAGCAGCACATTATGAAGGGCAAATCAGGAAAAGGTGGAGGTAGGGTGTGAGTGGGAAGTGGGGATGGGAGAGTGGAAAAGGTGCTGCAGCGCCAGGATTCATCCAAAGGCATGTCTCCACACTGCACAGCACTGATAGATGCAAACAAATTTTTATTGTGGGAAGGTGTTTTCATTTTTACTAAATCCTCCAAAAACCGAGAACCAAAAGCTATTATTGTCTAGGATAGAAGCTAGAGTTGTGAGAAAGAGCCATCTTCTGCTTTTAGACACCTTGCCAAAACCATGAACCAAGAAGATGCCACATTTCTTAAAATTACTCTTGACAATTTCTCCTCCAGTCACCAGCTGAGACTTTACTGACTGTAAGTTCAATGTTTGCCCCATGAGGGCAGAGCAGACACCTAAATGAACATATAGACCTGCTGCCTATGAGACATTGCTGCTCTGAGAGTGGAAAGGGATCTTTTTCCTTCTTCCCTCCTGGACTTTTATTTGGAGGGGAGAAGAGATTTGATCCATTGTAAATACTTATGTCATGGTAGAGATAATTAAGATTGTATATAATGTATTGTAGTATTTATTTTGTACAGTCATTGTAATATATTTCCTTTCCCCCATTTTGAGTCTTGTGTGGTGTCTGGAAAAATCATCTCACACTGGGTTGAGATGTGGGAGGGGGCTTGGACTAGGGAATTGGATTTTTGGAGTTCTCAAACCATGACACACATGGGAGTTGAAACAAATAAACAGAAGAGAATAATTTCTAGCCTGTGCACCAACCTGATCATGGGAAGAATGCTATCCAGGGTCCTGCTCGGGTATGACCCCATACTTCCAGAAAGTTTAGGTTTTAAGCTTCTAAGAATTTCAGATGTTTAGTCAGTAGCTAGACTGTTGGTCACCTCTTGTGGAGGAATGAGTAAAAAAGGGAATGGTACCAGCGAAAGAAAGCCAGGATTCTTGTTGCTTATTTACCTACCCTGCCTTCTATCCTCTTTGAGGACTCTCTTCAACATAGAATCACCTTAACAGGAAAAATTAGTCTGGAGTAGGGTGACTTTTTTCAGGAAGCTGAATTTCAAATTACATATTCACCCTGAAAGCTGAGTGAGGTTTTGAGAAAAAAAGCCCTTGTTTTCTGCCCTGTCTCCTTCCCTTCGAGTGTAACATTCCCCAGTGACAAATTAAGAGCCTTAAATGATGTGATTTTATTTCATTTCATAGCGGGAGGGTACAGATTAGCTGAACAGATCACACAAGGTGGTAGTGCACAAGGACCCTGTGATGCCTTGTCAGACACAAAATCCATCACTGAGCACATGCTCAGTCCCTTGAGAAATGTCTACAAGGTGAACCAGAGAGGTGGCTTTTTTTCAATCCAGCCCCTACTTAGACCATAACAGTCAAGCAACTCAACTATAAAATTAAGTTAAACCATGTTTACAGAGGTGCTGACAGGCTTTCCAGCCATGTAAAACTAAACTTATAGAGCCAAGTTGGTTGAAGACAGCATTTTTCATAGCCAAGTAGACAGAGGAGGAGATTTCCTAAGGAGGAAATCTGCATTCCCAGGTCTAGTCAATGGTCCAATACTGCTTCAGGCAGTTCTCTTTGCTCAAGTGGTAAAAAGAAATGAGGATGGGACTTGGATTCCAGATGCCTATTTCAAAACACATAACAATTCAGCATATTTGGAACTTGGGTTTTAAAGTTACTTCTGATTCTTTGGAAGTTATTCCAACACAGCTTTTTATTCCAAATATTATAACTGTTCAATTCTATTCAATAACTGCCACCAGAACTAATTTTTTCAGCTTTCTTCAGATTTTGACATATACCTTTAGGTTGGATTTTTAAAGTCCTCATGCTTTGTTGTCCACAAGGCAATTTTTCTTTCCTCTTTCATAAGTAATTGAAGGTAAACAGGGGGAAAATGGGGAGGAACAAGCCTGTACAATAAATCACCGAGGATGATGACAGAAAATTGCCTCTGTCTGTGTTAAGTGAAGGACTTAAATATTCCATCAGTGACAAGGGCAGGCTCACTGAGCTGGCTTTGCAGACCTGTGTCAAAGTTAAACTAGGCTTCTTTTCACAGGTAGGTCACCTATTTCTTTACTTCACTAGTAATTGTCCCTCTCTGTTCAGAGGGATGTGGGCACCTCTGGCTCCTCAAGCTTCTAGAGGAGGGCGTGTAGCAGACTTCTGTTTCCTTCTCTGTGACTGAACTGCACATGCAGACAACTCAGCACCATATACAAAGACAAAGCAAGCCTTGTACAACAGGTAACTTGTCAACCTGAGGCAACTCAGATCTGAATTTATAAAACCTCACCGGGGTTCACTTCAGAGAGCAGACAAATGAACGGCTTGTGCAGATTCCTAAATAAACCAGGACCTCCCTCCAGCATCAATCCATTTCTCAAAAATTTCCTTTGGAAACTTGGAATCTGTCTGAAATTTGGTATAATGATTTAAAACGAACTCTGAAACTGAGCAAATTTCACGTAGCTTGAGGTTATAAGCACTTGAAAGAGCTCCTGAAGTTGCTCCAGTTGTCAAATGAAGTGAGCACAAGCAGATTTTTTTGCCCTCAAAGGATTTGCTTACCGAAATCCCACATGCTGCACATTTCTTGCCAAATCGCTGCAGAATCTTCTGCCAGAAGGGAACACTCACAGCTGCTGATACCTACAAGTGACAAAAAAACATATCTGTACTTTGCCTACTGCCACTGTCTTCTTCAGCTGCAGAGCTCATGGGCATCTTTTTGTCTAGTACATTACAGTCTGAAAGGAAGGCGAACACACAGATTCCTGTTTCTTCTCATCTTTTGAGTGATTTTTTAAACATTCATTATTAAGCTGTCCATGAGAAGGTTTTTCACAGTCAAATATCAGAAGGCAGTGTCTTAAAATCTCCTTTTCTAATGTGAGCCACAGCAGTTAAAGCTACGGATGACACAGCCACTAAAGGTCAAACATATTGCAAATAGTCCTACTTTGTGCTAATGCCTTTTGCCACATTACCTGAAATGATGAGTGCATTCAGCTCTACTCCATGATACAGGAAGAAAGCTGAAATGTGAGATCCACTTAAGATATACATAGAGTACCTATTCCATACCATGTGTCCCTTCTTAGGGACAATTTGTAAGAGAAACAGTTGCTTGCAGTCAACATTACCATTTCATATACTGAAATACTCACCTGATAGCAGCAACAATCACAGACAACATAGTACCAATGCACTAACATGTTGCCACTAATGACAGTCTTCCAACTGACCTAAATTTAAATGACATCTTATTGTTACAGTTTTATTTCCATCTTTACTGATTTTAACTCTACTGTCTCTTGTGTCTCTTCTTGGAGACCATCAGTTGCAGAGCCTTAAGATATCCAATATCTTCTGCTCTCCAACATTTTGGTTTTAATGGTTTTGGAAGATACGTCTTATAATGTGGGAAAGGATACGTATCACCTAAGCAAGCACAATTCCACCTCTGCATGTCGAGGAAAGGGTTCTGTAAAAGGATCTTTTTATCAAACTGCCAATTGCTCTAGAGAAGAACCTTCATATCTCTAGATATTTAAAATATTTATCCTTGCAAACTGCTTAGCTCAGAAGACTCATGTATATGAATATGCAAATTAAAGTTGTTTAATTTTCAGCATATAAGACTGGGAGGGGAGGAAAAGAGGAGGTAAAATTCCAGACCTCCTTTCTATTAGAACCTTTTTGCCTTTTATGGGAGCAGAAAATGATTTACAGGTTAAAACAACAAGGAATGAATTAAAAGCTCCAAAGCATTAATTTTTTTATAAGTACAGCAGGGAACACCAGCTTTATTTCAAACAGACAATGCAAAAGATAGCGTAGCTTCTTAACAGCTCTGTTGAGATACAAAACTCTTCTTGTCTTCCATTATTTAGTGCCAAAACCCAGTGAGAACCAATTAACATATGGGAGAGAAGTGCAACTCACCAAGATGGTCACCACCAAATACTGGAAGTGATTGCGAAGGCCAGAAGCTTGAGTGCAGAACAGGACAAAGTTGCTCTGCTCCAGCTGATGAATCGAAGATGTTTAGTGACAACCAAAAGTGAAAGAAAAATTTAAAAAGACAATAATGACATCACGCTTCATATTAGTCAAAGATAGTTGGTGATGGATTTGTTAAATGTAGGATTTGGCAGTCTCATTCTTCCCTTGTTTGCAACAATTTAAAGAAGCAATAACTGATCTGTTATCACTGGAATAACATGCCAATAATACTGGAGCAAGCAAGAGGAAAACCATGCACCTAATAGAGCACAAAAATGACCAAAACAGGAATGGTCCTATGAAAGGATTCTGTCTCCAGGCTTTATTCCCTATGTTGCAATTGCCTTGTGTTGTCACAGCCACAGTTGCAGGCTACTGTAAGAAACTGCTCTTTCTTTTCCATAGCAATGCCATAAATCTTTCTCCAGAAGCCCTGACTCCAAAACAAGTAACTTTCAGCTGCAATTACACTCATACCAACTTCCTGTGGTAAAGTAGCAGGTTTCGTATGAAACCTCAGCTATAGAGTGTAGCTTTGGCTCAGATATCTCCGTAAGTCTGAATACTCATTGGATGAGAGGATCTAGCTGCACTGTGCTGTATGACAGGTGAAGCCACTGCCACCATGCTTTTGAAGATTTCAGGAAGATTCTGAACACCAGGATATGACTGAGGGGCAGCTCCATCAATTCTGCAGAAGTAGAGTGACAGAGGAGGATTTAACACTCATGCCACAGCAGCACAATCAACTCTTGCTCCTTTGTGTGCTTGTAGATTATAGGTGGCCAATCATCTGTACACCAATTAGGACATCCAAAAAGTTGTATCCCTTCTCCATTGCCACAGAAGTCTTCTCTAGCTTGTGTCCCTGTTTACGCTGCCTTAATTTTAGATGTAGGATATCATACTCTGGAATTATGGCCAACGAACACATCTTTCCTGCCTATTCCTTTGCTCATCAGTAATCCCCTCTCTGAATTCCACAAAGTCAGTGTCCCTCCCTAAAATAGCAGCAGCAAGGGTTGCCCATGCTGGCTGAACTGGAGCAACACAACTTCAAGCTTCTGCCTCCCCTCACACCTTCAGTCTGCACAAATAGCGAAATAAAGAGACACAGACTGACAGAAGGTCTTTTCCTCTCCGGGTGTTTTCAACAAGTAGTTGGCTGCCAGAAACCAGATCTGTGCTGCATACTTACTAACTGAATGGATGCTGGAAGGATCTGGACCATAAGGAACCTTCCAAGGAACTTACTAATTCACCAGGAGTGCTGGTGAACACAGCACAGCTCACTTACTGTACTCTTGCCTTATGTCTTGATACTCACTTGATAAAGGGCTCAGGTGACTTAGAGTCTGTTCACCAAAATGTGATAATTATTTGCTTTTCAAAATAAAGCCGACTTTAACTGCTATATGAAGGTTCATATTAAAATAATATATCAACTGAGTTGAACATCGCTTACAAAATCAAGCTTAAAAAGCTGCTGCACTATGGAGAATGAGGGTTTCTTATTGAGTAGCTTTCTCTACAGTTTTTCCCTCTGAGAGGACACACTGCATCTTTTAACAAGAGCCACGCTCAACTGCAGGTCCTCATTTGAAAATAAACTCTATCTGGCTCTGAGACAGGTAAGACCTCCTGCCTCTGAATGTCTTCTTACTCTGACCTAATGTCTTTCGTCACAAAAGACTCCACAAGAACCAGTTCAGCCACTATCTGAGAACAGACACCTATGCAAAGGAAAAGGGGCAATGGTTTAAAGCAGGGCACACTTTAGAGAGGAACAGAGAGGAGAGAAGAGAAAAATATTCTCTAAGCAACTGAAACCACAGGAGACTGTGAATGGATAACATATAATGACCCAAGCTGTGTCACTAGGACTAGTTCTTCACCTTTTATGGGAAAAAAAAAGAAAAGAAAAAAGGTCTTCAAATGGTCAGGACTTTGGCTTTGCTTCCCCTTTGACAGAACCATCTCCAGCTGCATAGGACCCCAGGCACCAAAAGAGGACTCTGATTCCCTACTGATTTGTAGGGAAAGGCACCACCCCTTAGATCACCACCCCCTGCCACCAGCCAAAGGTTATTTGCATTTCAGCTGCCTCAGACTCCCCCATGCTGGGAGTGGAATGAGGCAAACACACAGACAGTCTGAAGTTACCTGAACTGCTGTCGAGATGAGAAGAAATGAAGCTGTGAGTTTCACATACGGACCGTGCTTCATGGTGAGTCCAAGCCCCTTACAAAAAGGGATTGCTCTGTCTGAACTTAAGGCATAAGGATCTAAGAGGAACAGAATACATAAAATAGTATTTTCCATAGATGAATGTGAAATAATGATTATTAAATCTAGGCACATTTAAATATATCTTACCATCTTTTTCCTTTACTCCAAGAAAAAGAACAACAATTCCAAGAAGATACACACCTCCTATGACCCCTGCTGCAATCATATAAACTTTCGCCTTGGAAAGAGAAAAAGACATTTGAAATTGTGACAGGAGAATGACAAGTCATTATAAAAATTTCAGTCTCTTTCTGGTGAGTCATCTGCAAATGAAGAAATGCCCATCTGTATACAGCCAACTGTCTGTCTGTTACGTCTCTGAAAATGTTCACTTCTGCAGTTCATTTCTAAACCACACCTGCTTTAGGGTAAATCCAGGGCACGTAAGTGTATACTTTTTGCATAAAAAAAGAAGCAGTGAATATTGTGTTGGCAACCTGATTTTTAAAAAATTTTCTTATGTCGAAACTAGCTACAGACATACACACTTACCTATCAAAAACATGCATCATCCATAGAGTGATTCTAATTTTTAGTAAATCCAGTTGCTCTAGCTGCACAGACTGCAATCTGGAACTTCATTCTGAGTGGGAAAGTCCTCAGTACTGACATTAACATAATTACTACAGCTACTGCAGTTATACATAATGATAATAATGAATTTTAGAAATCATACTTACTTGCCAATGTTTTGAGAATATGGTAGCTTGCATGATGGTTTTCCAGTTACTTAGTGAAATACTCAAGCAAATTCAGAAATCTTTGCTTCTTATTAGTCAGGGGAACAAATCCTCCAAGGATACCTCCCACATCATCAGATGACATTTATTGTTTCTAACTCTGATTGCACTGACTTTGGGTTAGAGCTTTGAAAATATTTTGCTTCTGTACTATGTAATAATTTATACTGTGTTATCAAAGATAAAATAAGTGCTGGTTATAGAATTTTATGACAAAGTGACTATTTGATAGGAAAACTGAATTCTAAATTACAAGTTATATGTTGAAAATGGAACTATTATAAATCTAGGAAGCAGCTGGTAAATAAATATGCAATTACAAGAATTTACTTCCAAATGTAAAGTCACTTAGTATAGATGCAACCATGTAAGAATAGACAACCTTCAAGAAAATAGCTTTTGTTAAGTTATTTACATTTCAGAAAATAACATGGTGAAATAAAGGAATGCAGGACTATTCTTTATTTAGGATAAAGCTTTGCATTTTTTTAATATCAGAGCTATAAATTAAGTTACAGAGTAGTTTCATACTGTTGGTTATGGCTTGCTCTAGCCACCATTTTTTCATAGAATCATAGAATTATTTGGGTAGGAAGGGACTTTCAAGACCTCTATTTTCAACCACCTCTCATGGGCAGGGACACCTTCCACCAAACCAGGTTGCTCCAAGCCCCATCCAACTTGGCCTTGAACACTCCAAAGGGTGGAACAGCCACAACTTCTCTGGGCAACCTGTGCCAGTGCTTCACCAGAAAAAAAATCCATATATCCATCTAAATCTACCCTCTTTCAGTTTAAAACCATTCCCCCTTGTCCTGTCACTACAGACCTTTGCAAAAAGTCTCTTTCTATCTTTCTAAAAAGTCCCCTTTAGGTACAGAAAGGCCACAATAGGGTCTCCTCCGAGCCTTCTCTCCTCCAGGCTGAAGAAATCCAACTCTCAGCCTATCTTTGCAGGAGAGGTGTTCCAAACCTCTAACCATTTTTGTGACCCTCCCCTGGGTCTGCTCTAACAGGTTCATGTCTTTTATCCCTCCTATAGCTACTTTACAGTTTGGCATCTTCGGCAAAGCTCCTCAGAGTAATTCTGCTGTCACACTGAGGAGGGATTGCAAAGACCACAGTCATGAAACCTTGTTTGCAACAAGGTCATTGTCTCAGCTCTAGCATTACTGATTTCAAGGCTGTCATGTCCATGCTCATCCAGCTGGATGATATAATATGGCGTTAGAGAAAGATCCCCACCCTTCTCCCTAAGAGATTTTAGTATGTTCCCATAGACTTACTTGATGAGACAGGATATCTGAGGGGTCTGGAATGCTGGTAGTGTCATGCCAGGAGTCAGTTGTGTTTACTGGGGGATTCACAGTGCAGTGATGAGAGACATGAGCACTGGCCACAATCTGCCCCTGAAGTGCTGCTCCAATCAAGGTCCCAAGCACTTCCATGGTCATTCCTAAAGAAGGAAGCACACATGTGCACTGAGGATGAGAGTCTTGCTTGTTTGTCACACTGAAGATAAACCTCACCAGAACGTTTTCTTTTACAGGGAACAAGCACAAAGAGCAATACCAAGAACAGCAGAATCAGAAGGTTATTAATAGAACAGTTTCAAGGAAAGAGTTTTGTCATCTATTTTCTGATCAGCTTTTAGAAGCCTCCATGAAGGAGCCTTTTGTATACAAGCTGCATGAGAGATGCTGAATGCTGAGATTAAGAGCCACAAGAAGATAACACAGAAACATTTCATCTCAAGGACCAGAGTGGAAGTACAGTTTAAATGTTAAACGCCATTTTTTCCAAAGCAGGACTAAGAGCTGTAACATCGGACTGTTCATCTCAAGCTTGACAGTAACTTGAGAAACACTTATCTGATCAGACCTCTAGGTCCTCCATCTGTAAAATAAAATGATATTTACCTCAGGTTTATGGAAATAGTATAGCTGCAAAGCTCTTGGAAACAGCAGATACTTATGTTCTTAAGTGCCTAAGGCCATAGTCAGGCAGAACTAGTTGCCTCAATCTCAGAGAATGATTCAGATCACTAAGACTCATCAGAACAAGGGATCATCTAAAAAAACAACCCAGGCCTCCACTTGGGAAAGCAAAGATTTAACCATGGGCATCCCATTCATTGCATTGATCAACCAGGTGACTGTTGTGGCAGCTCTGTTACGGGAGAGTGGTGAGTAATTTGGGTCCTAGACCATCGTCAGCCTGAGGGATTTCAAGCCTACCATGCCTGTTTCCATGCAATGTAGCCATATCCAGCATCCCTGTGGCAGGGAGATAAACTGAATTCCTGTCCTAGCTCCAGAGACTAACTCTAAACCCTATTTATACATTTTGCATAAAGATGTATAGGGTTGAACGCATGAACACATTAGGAACAGGGACTAAGTCTCTCTGTTTATGAGGGAATGCTCTTCTCATTGACCTAAATTTCAGGCTTCTTTCTATTTTTTCTCTCTCAGTGGCTCCCAGGGTCCCATGTTCCTTTCTCAGAAGGGGAATTTTGAAGGGCTGCTTCCAGAGCAGGTTGTATCCTTGTGATTATCATACCCTCTCTGGGAAATGACAGGCATTTCAAAAGCTCCTAGGCTCAGGTTTATTCAAGTTCCCTGCTCTATAATAGCCTTCCTAGGTGACCTCAGACACTCCTTTTTGTGTGTCCCTGTAAAGGAATAAAAACACTTCAGCATCTAACGGAAGGGCAATGCACAGAGACTGAAAGGAGATCAGACAGTGCAGTAATGAAGGCTGTATGTAGCTATGGAAGATCCAGTAAGGAAAAGGAAAGAGAGGCTTTCTACGAGGCTTGGATCATTTAAACCATTGCTACTACATTCCCAAACAGAGAATACTTCTGAATGGAAAACTTGAGGTGCCACATAACATTAATTTAAACCAATGGGAAGTAAAAATAAAAACCTTCTTCCTCAAACTTCACATCTAATCTTACTAGTAACTTTACAAGTCAGTCCATATACACTAAAATCCTGGCAGATGGTGAAAGTTTAACCTCAGTCTCAAGTTCAGCCTCAGGGTTTGAACACAAACTAGTCTCAGTTGGGCTTTGCAGGACATCCAAACTATTGGCTACTCAATGCAAAGGCAAAGCACTCAAATCACACCTTTCACTCACAACACCACCTACACATTTTTAACCTTCATCTAGGGCTCCACATCTGCATTTCATCAAGCACTTGTATAGCATAAAACTCAGAAGCATTATTAGAGGCATCAGAAATGCAGCCATTATGAAATCTTACTTTCTAAGAAGTAGTAGGAGCTGGGAAACAGACAGACTTCAAAGTTCTTGTGTGTTCAGAATTTATGATGTATTAGCTTCCACATTAGCCAAGAAAGCTGATCTTTCAGAAAGCAGATTGTACCTTAAAGTAGGTTATATTTTGCCCAGATTGAAGCAAGATTTATGTTAAAGCAACTTTGGAATCCAGTATTTCTACCTTGCATTCATAATAACAGCAGAACAAAATTTATAATAAGCAGTTCTGCTTGTCTCCAGTAGAGGGTAATGGATCCTCTGATCTCTATCTTTTTTTTAAGAGCACACTTCATATTACACAGCTGTTTTTCTTTAACAGTTGAAGAAATGCCTGAACAACTGGCTGCATTCAAGACAGTGTATCAACAAAAAGAATTCTTTATGAAACCCAAAGAGAGGCAAAAGTATTTAAGTAAAACACTTACAAAAAAAAAAGGGGGAGAAAAAAAATATTCTCACATAATCATAACCATTACAAGAAATCCTGGCTCCAAACAAATATAATTTCAAAATATACAAAAATATCAACATCTGAAAAAGTCAAAACTATGGTTCATTCCAACACCTTAATTTGGCTTAGGAGAACAGCTGTACACTCAAAAGTGAAACTCTTTCTGAACAATAAAATGACACTATAAAATGTGTGACACCTCTCAGCCATGGAGTTCAACAGCTTTTATGAGTACAAATTTCACATGCCTATGAAGCCTTGCATGGGACTAGCAGATCAGAAAGCCCATTTATTTGGATCACAGCCTCTGAAGACATAAAACCAGACAATAGAAAACACTAGGTGCATGGATTTAGTTAGAATTTAGGCCAGATGACTCAGAATACAGTCAATGCCAAAGAATATAACACAACTGGAATCTCCTGCTGTTTAGTCCTGTCCTGTGACTGCTAGCCCAGACTTTCTCTTGAGATAGTTGATGATAATGCAAATTACAACTGTTCCATGTGGCTGGAAAAGGGATTGGGTTGCTCAGGGGATATTGTATCTAGAATTTTTTTAGCAGTTCTGACCATTTCATTGTGCCTCTGTGGGTTTCAACATACTCAATCAAGTATGTTGAGGGTTAGAAGGCCTAATGGAAAAGGGCTCTTGCCAGGAAGAGAAAACAGATGCAACAAAAAAATTACAAGTTATTCTAAAGCAACACTGAAAGGCAAGTTAAGACACAGAAAAGTCTTCCATGTGATATTTGACTCCTTTCTCTTTACCTCGCTCAATGCAGTTACACAGTAAAGAAAGCATGAGAACAGAGCTCAGGAGAGTAGGAGGGGAAGAAACTGATCTTACATTCAATTTATGATCCATACAGGAAATCCTGAAAATGTTTTCATTGCACTTTTTTGGTCTGATCAATTTGTTTCAAAGCAAAAACTTCATCTAGTTTTGATTGTTGAAAAGCCAGAAATATGGTCTGGAAGCCCTCATTCTTTTAACTTACCTGTCAGTGTTAGTTCTGTCACAGCAAGATCTGTCCTTAAACTTACCTGATATACTTAGAATTAATTAAATACACACAGATTAAATGAAAAGAGATATTTCAGTTTGTGTGAACATGCACAGAGAATTGATCTCCTTTCTGGTGAGGTTAACAATCTTGGTTCTATGTGTTTTCAATTTTTTTTCAGAGAAAGCGAGTTTGGAATTCGAATTTATAACATGAAACACATAAACTTAGGAAAACATTAACAAAAAAAAGGAACAGAACAAAGCAACAAACCTGAACAAAACAAAATCAAAACAACAAACACCTTAAAATTACTTTCATACTTTCTTTAATTGAATGGGTTTGGGATTTTCCCCTACAAATCACCTTTAAATGAAATCATTCTTCCTTACCCTGACTTGGGTAAGAGTGATTTTTATTGTTTCATCTGACTAGCAATAAACCAAAAAGAGTTTATAGCTAGCCAGATAATTTGAGACAATGAAACATTAACATCTCCTGTTTATCTAGAAAAAGAGAATTCCTTACAAGACAAAATCATTTTTGTTAAATATTAAAAAATTCTTATAAAAGTCTAGTTTAGGGACACAAATCATTAGGAACTTCCTATAGATAAAGAATGATTACCAAAAAAAGCCCTAATCCCCATGAGAAAGCCCAGATCACACTCACGATACGCTGTTGCAGAATCTCTGTCCTTCTGGTCTGTGCTGAGAAACATGGTGAGGGCAGAATATGGTACTTGGAATAACTATGCAAAGAAAGAACATCACTTAGGAAATGTCAGAGAAAAAATGCTGTATTCCTTTGATACCCAGGAAAATGGTTAAATGTGACCTTGGAATTCATCTAGAACGTTCACTTAGAACGTTTAGAACCCTTTAACCAATTTTTTAGCACAAAGACCTGTCTTTTCTTTCTGGTTTGTAAAGCATATAAAAGGAAAACAGTATCTTTCATAATACAAATAATAAATAATAACATACCAAGAGGCTTTACCTTAATCTTGTGGTCCTTCAGTTTCCCTGAGAAAATATCCTTCAGAGATAGGCTATAGAACATCTATTTTTTTTGCACTAGGAGACTATCATGTTCCTAGCTTGAGCTAACCAACAGGAAGTAAAGCCATGAAGAAGAAATACGTAATTTTCCGCTTTATTCAAGCCAGAAGACTATATAAATCACCAAAATATTTCAACTACTTGTCTAACCATGTAATTCCAGGAGATACTTGTGAAAACTACTTGGTCTTTAGCACCATTTTGCCACATACTCCTTAATTTAAGGATAAAAACACTCAATTGCTATGTCTGTGCACTGACAAAAAGGTAGATAGAGTGTTGTCTTATTATTTTTACAGCATTGTATCCAGCATTCTGCAAGATCCTGCTGGAAAAAATGCACTGGCAATATTTGTTGTGATGCTGAGTAAATGAGCCACACTTGTACTGCAAGAGAGGCCTTATCTACAGTAGTACTTCACTGAAAAAAACTACTGAACACCAAAGGCTTGACCTTTTCATCGGTCATGATGTGGGTGGGATCCTGTCCTCATAACACCGAACTAAAACAAAATCACTTCTACAATCCTGGAATGACATACAGGCCTGACTCTCAGACTATTGTGAAGTGGAAGGACATGAACCTGCTTGAACAATCAAGTTCTCTGTGGTGTTCCCACCACCACAGAGATCTGTAGCCAAACTAGGTCTTGCAATCTGCATCCCAGTCTGTACAAAATGCATTTCTGTTCACCTCCATCAAACATGGCAAACGTGTACATTTTCAAAGCTCTGCCACAGAAAACTCATTTCTCCTTCAATAGAGATAGGAAATTATTTAAAACCATACTGAAATAAACCATCTTTCTACAGAGGAAACAAAGGAGCAAGGGAAATATTCAGGCTTAACACAGGAATACAGAATTCGCAGGTCCAACAGATTTGTCTCACTTCCAGTCCTAATCTGCTGTGTGATGATGCTTTGCATGAAAGGTACCTTGTTCATCTTGGTATTGGCTACAAGGCAAAACAGGGTGATAGGATGCAACCCCTACATGCACAGTATGGAACGTGTCAGAAAAGTTCTTTGTGATCCACTGAAATGAGAGCTTCTGCATAAATATTGCAAGTTTTGGGGTGTATTAAAAATATCACACGCCCAAACTCTTCCAACCAGGCATAAAAATCATGATGCCTACTATCAGTACTATCAGGTACCCTGACTTTTCATTGCCTCCTAGCTTGAGTCAAAACACCCAGAACTTGAGCCACAAACCTGCTTAGTCTCCTATTCTGCTCCTGAAAATAGAAGCTATGAGCAGTTAGATGTCTAACTGGAATTAGGAATCCAAATGTCTCTGTGGATCTATAAAATTTATAGATAGTTGAGTACCTAGGGCACTGCCAGTGGAAGTGACAGGAGGTAATTTGTCTGAATTAGCAGGTCATTTGCCAGTGAAAGCACTGGCAGAAACCATCTACTTGCAGAGTTTGATAAAAGAACATTTGCCTATCCCTTAAACACACTGGAAGTTGAAGCAAAATGTGAAGTCAAGTTAACTAAATATGAATTAATATAGACAGACAAGAAGCAAGTTACTGCTGAGAATATCAGAACCTGTAATCTACTTACTGTGGTCAAAGCTTGGAAAAGGCAGTTGAAAGTCACGTACCATGCAGCTCTTCCTGACACAAAAGGAGGCAGGTACCACATGAAAAAATAAGACACTACTGTGAAGGGTGTACATGCCAGCATCCTGCAAAGAAGATTAACACATATCAATAGTCTTAACATAATGATAGCAAAACACATTAAATTTTCCTGCTAATAATCAATATCAGTTATTGTATGTGTAATTTTTCTAACCAGGATAATGCCATGTTTTTAAGTATTAGACGTTAGTGTGCATTAAATACACAGATTAATATAAAAAGTGTGCAAGTACTTCCATAGTATAATAATAATAATAAAATTATAAAAAACCCCAGGAAATCTGAAAGAAAAGAGCTAAACTTAAATCCCACTCAGAACAGACACAATTTCCTTGCACATGCACTGTAACACAACACCTATACTGCCATTCCTTGGTACATGTCTCAGATCACACATTTATTAGAAAGAACCACAGAAGACTGAGTTCTGTCATCATGTCTTTGCATGCTCCAGCAATTTTTATATGATCCTACTTATTACTAAGATTCCCTCTCCCAATTTTAGTACCCTCAGTTTTCCTCTCAACTGAGCCTCTTCACTGCTCCCACATGGACAGCCCACTGTGAAAGTTCCTACTTCTATATCTACTTGGATATATGACAATTTGCTCCATTTAACTCAGCAGCAAAACTCCTAAACACTTCAAACACGACAGTATCATCTTCTGTTGAGGAAGGTGGCTTTAAAAAAAAGAACCACAAAAAATTACATTAGTCTAAAACTTATTTCAGGCAAATAACACTTGTCAAACTCCATGACACAGAAGAAGTGGTCAGATGCTATTATTTCCTAGAAGTCAGAGCTGCAATCAGGGCTCTCCTGTATTCTTGTAAATCAGGCATTAAACAACATATTTGGATGACCAAGATCCTAACGAAAAATTTCCAAACATGTAAAAGAGAAAACAGATTAATCCCTTCACAACAGCACTACTGACATTGGGGGTCAGCTGATTATTTTTCAACCGTGAACTGAAAACCTGGAATACAAAAGAGTAATGTGGGTAAATAGTTTAGTAAAACAATGGCTTTCCCACACTGCTCTTTGGGATGGAACTGAGCATTTACCAGGAAAGTGCCAGGTTCTGGTATTTTCAGTCCCCAGGCCACAGGTCACCCACAGCAGGTCAGCAATGAAAACATAAACAAGGGTAAAATCCTAACACACCTCAGGAAAACCACCTTCCTCTCTCTCTGACTGAGCTCTTCCAGAGGGTGTCCAGGCAGAGTCACCACACTAAATATTTTCAAAGTCCCTTTTTCATGCAAGTCTTCAGCAACAACCCTCTTAGTATTATTCCCCTCTTTCTTTCTCTTTCCACGTTTTCCTTTCCTCTTTAATGTCAGTGAGTTTTCAGAGCCTTGCTGAAGTTGCTGAATATCTGAATGTCTACTATTATCTCTTTGCCAAAATACTTGACCTGTATTCCAAGTCAATGTCTGCTTCTGCCTTTTAAACACATTAAATAAGAGATCAATAGCAATTGATAACTTCATACTATATTGAGTACAGTATTAAGAGATAGTTAAATGTTCTCTTTCTTTACTGATGTTCTTGCTTTGTTGGCAAGCTTTTCTGACTAAAAAACAATTCCACTGCTTCACTCTAGAGTATTAAAAAGTCAGAATAATTTCAAAATACTACAGTATTTTTAAGTTAGTGGAAGTCCCATTTTTTTGCTTTGTATAAAAATGGTCTCACTTCCAAAGTGTAGGACCAAAATTCTCATGAAAATATTACCATTACCAAAAAAACAGACAAAATCCTCCTGCAAAGAAAGCAGCTGTTTGATGAAAGGCAGGGTTAGATAAGCACTTTTCATGTAATAAGTGCAAGATGTGCTGTAGTTGGTTTACAGTGTGAAGGGCTGATAAGTTCATGCTTGTGCTAGAACGGGAGTCATTTTAACATCGATTTAACACTAACAGTAAACGCATGTATTTGCTGTATTTGCAGAGAACTTGGAAAAAAAAAAGTATCAGAATATGTCTAATAGCATTTGTATAAAAGTTTTATTATTTTATTTTTTAATAACTTTGTTGCTTAGTTAATTCAGAAGTTATTAAAAACCACACCGTTTACCTGGCCAGAAACTGAAAAGAGAAAGAGCAGCACGCTCCTCTTTTCTCATGGGGCTCCTGGCAAAAATCTCAACGTTGACCTCAAGTCCCTGCTCCTGCTGGGGCCAAGAGCAGCTGATCTCAGCCTTTTTCCAACATGTACTTGCCTTCTATATTTTGTCAGATATAAGCTACCCACGGACAAGTTCCTGTAGCTCTAAAAGCACGTGACAGTGAGAGAATCACCAGCTAAAAAACTGGGCTTATTTTCCCTGAAATTACAACTTCCTTGCTCAGGATTTTTGTTGTGATTCAAGTTTGGGGGTTATACTAATTCAAATTTCATTGATTCAAAATATTTTACAATATATCCTTATGATGCATGAGAGAAAGAGTGATGAAAGACTCCAAATTTCACAAACTACTCAGTCTCTCTTTCACTTCCAAAGTACTAAAAAATTAACAAATACATGCTCTGTGGCCCAGATGAGTCTGAGTTCCTCTAGCATGGACAAATCTTTCCCGATTTTCTTGCTTCACACCTGTCAATCTCCTTCCTATACATGTAAAATTCATTCTTCTAACCTCTCTTTAGAGCATATGAACAGCACACGTAGGAGTGCACTAACTAGAGTGCACACGAATGTAAGATGTTACAGTGAAACATCACACCCTCCCTTTAGAAGTGCTCATTCATTATAAAAGTCATGGTGATTTTTTAATTAACTATTTTGATTACTGGATGCAAGAGAAAGCAGGAGCAGAACGAGTGCTATAAGGAAGAACCTAACAGAGCTAAGGGCAGTGCTATGGTGTCACATCTGTCCCACAGTCATGCACACACATCCTTTCCTGAACTGAAAGGCTTAGGGAGTTAAAGCTAATGGAGCTCTTGGAAGGCTGATGCGAGATGTGAAGGCATTCTAGGACACAAGTAGAGATAAGTTCCAACTTTGTGGAAGAATGAGGCGAAAATTCAACCACAGATTCAAAAAAGTTTTAGATCTGGGGTTCCTGTTTTGTTACCAACACAGTCTTCTGGCTTTATTTGTTTGTGTCTCCAGCGGTAAAAGCCTCTTCTGTATTTTCATGGGTGAAAAAGTTAAAGGCATATAGATGACATGACAACTTTTCTTTTTGATTTTATATATGTAAAATGGATACAATCACTAAGACTAGTTCAAGGAGGTAGCTGTATGATCACAACACTCAATAATAATATATATATGTAAATATATGTACACATTTAGGCTTACCAAGGCATGAGCCGGCCAATTCTTGTCCATCTACTTTTGCTAATAAAAAAGCCAGCAACAGGATCAGTAAATGCACCTGAGGCTTTGCCAATGAACAGCACCAGAGAAGCATGAAATGGAGTAATCTGAAAGTACAGACAGAATACAGTAAACAAGAGCCATTGTTTCACAATACAATGAGACATCATAAAGCAACTTTCCAGAAAAAAACACCTCAGTGTTTCAAAGAATAATGATAGTTCATGTACAAAACATGTCTGCTGCTGTCATAGAAACTCCTATTGGTTACCCATAGCAAACAAATGAGACACTGAGACAGGCATCATGAATGAATGAATTAGAGGGGGGAAATGCAAGGAAGGGAAAATCCTGAATGTGTTTAGAATGAGGAAAATGAATCAGATAGTCAAATAGTAAAGTCCTGGTTTTAGTCATACAATCTGACAGAGTCCCTCTGTAATTACCCTCTTACTTTGCTCCATCTACTCATATCTTTATCTTAACCTGATCTAGAAAATAGTAGAGGGAGCTGTTTACATGCACCCGTGTTTTTTCATCTCCTGAGATTAGCAACAAGGCTGCCAACTGGTGGTATGTGGCTGAGGAAGAGTGTGTAGCACAGCAGACTTTATCCAGTCAGCACTGAACTGTGACAACTAAACTGCATAAGGCACATCTGTTCAAATCAAAGTTGCCAGCACACGTCCATCAAATCTCACTTGAAAAATGTTTGTGGATTACATAAAAATAAAATGCCCAAGTGGAAAAATCCTTTAACAAGAAGTTAACCCAGGAGGACCATATTTTCATGCCCATATAGAAATACAGTTTATCCCAGGCAATGTAGTCATTTTTTCACATATATCTGTACAGAGCTTAGGAATTCCCATCACACAACGGTCAAAAAAGTGAGTTCTCCAAGTGCTCAGTTCATGCCATTTTAACTACAGTGCTGAAAAAAGTCATTAAAAGCCATATAAATATGAATGTTCCTCAGAGCAATTATTGAGAGAGACTGCTGAAACAGCCTCTGTGGCTTAAACAGCAACAGCAGACAAAACCCCTTCATCTCTGTGTTTCTTCATGCCATTAGTGCTCCAGTACAGTGGGAAACCTGGAAAATGCAGCTGAGCAAGCTGACCCAGCTTGAGCAGGTATCTCTCTATTTTCTGCCCACTATATTGTCTCCTAGGCAGCATCACCTGGCTTCCAGCTGGAGCAGTCCCCTACCCACTGATTTTGATGTCGGTCTTCCCCCAGAGGCAAAAGAAGGAAGGAGGGATCTCTGAATGTCCTGAATGACCTTTGTAAAAGGCAGGTGCTATCCACTTCTGTAATCACACCTGTTACATTTTAGGTGAAATTAGGTAAAATTGCATTGGCAGCCAATCTTCCTGTCACCACCAGCTCCAAGACACATACCCCACCTGAGAAAGCTTATGAACCGGGAAGTATTGGGAAAGCAGCGACAGTGGCTCTGCATTCAGTTGCTGAATGGTAGGACAAGGCTGGGATGGGCTGTGTCCCACTGCAGTTTGCTGATGTTCACCTCACCCATCTTTGCTGAATTATGCCCTCCCACAGCCAAGGCGACAAGTAACCCACCAACCCTTAGACAGCCTTGCTGCGGGGGCTGCACCAGAACTGCTCAAAAATCCCTGCTGCTTCTCAAGGGAATTCTGAGTCACTGAGCTTCTCAAGGTCAGCCAAAACAGGAACAAAATAGCAGTCAGAAGGACAGAGGGTCTGAAACACTGCAGTTACGAGAGAACACAAACCTACAAATTAGATGGGTTTCACATTGGTATTGTGTTCAGATAACTTGAACACACAGAAAGGAAGTGGATATTACATAAGCAGAGGTGGAAGAAAGCTTTGAGCAAAAAGCAAAACCTCTCTTATGTTATGAGTGGAGTGTGTGTATTCACCTTGTCTTCATCATTGATATGGGCTTATACATCCCTTGGCTGCATTTTCTTAGCCCCTAAATCTAGTCAGTGTCTGTCAGCACCAGTGCCAGAAACTTCTCAGTGTTATAAAGGAGCTAAAATAGTTCTGCCTTTTAAGTGGGTAAGAATTAAATCCACGTACTGACTGCAAAATTACATGCTCTCCCCTGAAAATGGGTGGAAAAAACCCACAAGATTTCAGAGCTGTTTATCAGGCCTTGAAATAAATCCTATCCCTGCAGGATTACTTCAGAGAACAAACTAAACCATCAGGGAACAAATAATTGAGCCCCTTAATGAAGGAGTAAGTGTATCATTACAAACATTAAGCAAAATCATTTGGTTTCAGTAGAAGCTTTTTAATAATATAATTATTATTGTATCATGTATTTAGGTAGTGTCCAAAGATGCAAGGATGAGGCCTCAGCTTTCTGAACACTGTACCCAAACATGTAAAGAGATAGTCTCTTACTTTGAGAATCTTCAATTTCTGTGATAATCAGTGGGGAAATTGCCATATTTATAAGCACCCTGGGAAAAACAGTGTGTCTTTCTCATTCCATTCATGCTTCCTCATCTCCAATGGCTTGTATTGCCATCCTTGATGTAAGGGGGAAACAAGTGTAGTCAGAGTGCACCCACCTCCCTCCTGCATCTCCAAGCTCCCTGTTCCACCTCCAGCTCCTCAGATTTCACACCATCCACTTGACATCTTTGACTCTGCTGTCCAAAATGGGCCCCTTTTCTAGGTCTTGTGACTTTGATCTCAACAGGACACCCAAGATGATCTCAGTTTTACATGCACATCTTATTGTGTTGCAAATTTTATCAAGTAAGTCAGACCTCAGCTTCTAATACCAGACTTTTATAGGAAAACCATAAACCAAACTTTTGGACATGTCCAGTCATAATATCCCACATTTTCTGCATCTGGAACAGCAAATGGGCAATGACATCTGATGCAGAACTTCCTGCTCTTTCCAGCAAACAGAAGCAGTCATCAGTGCTGAATGCCACTCATGTAGTTTCAGCTACAGCTCTTCCCACTGTCCCTGCAATTTGGCCTCAACTCCCTAAAATCCTTTTTTCTATCCTAACACTTTATCTATCCCACCTAGTTACCATGCAGGCATACAAGACAATCCAAACCAGTAAAAATTGCTTATGGATTGATTTTCTTTGTTTCTCTGCTGTCCTGAAATCTAGAAAGCTGGAGCAGCTGAAAGTCAGATGAATGGGATGATTCCTACTTTGTTTCACCAGGTCTGCTTCTGCACCAGAAAGCCACAGACTGCAAGCAAAGAAAGTTCAGGAAGGATAACTCAGCTTTCTTTGTAACAAAATTACCTTAGACAAACCAAATAATATTTGTGTGAAATTATGCTGACTGTTGGATGCAGCTGCAGTGATTTTTAACTGAACCAAATGAATAGAACTTCACAACCCCAACATGGTGCTGTTAATGTTTCAGATGTCCCACATTTTACATTATCTGGCTATTGACACTGAGAACTGCTTTTTTGTGTGTCCACAAGTGTGAGAACACTACAGCACCTAAAATTCTAATAATAATCCCAACCTAAAAGCAAACAATGGCCACTTCAAGACAGAAAGGAAACTAGTGGAAAAAAAATATTTGTGGACAAGTTTATGCAGTTTCCAGGATGCTGAACAGCAAGAGGCAAGGATAACAAGACAGTTTGGAATATTTATTAGCTAATTCCCCTTTTATCATTTCAGGGACATGGTTGACAACAACAGAGTTAAGTCTACAGTCTGTAAATGTTTCCTGTGCTACTTACATGGGCTATATCCAGCAGGTAGATCTGCAGGAAGAAAGCAGCAGCACTCCCTGCCACTTGATTTGGGGCACCTCCTATTGCATAGCACAATTTGCTGCAAATCGAGAGCCTGTGTTCCTGTGCAAGAAGAAGCAGAACAGATGATGAGAAAAACAAGGTACACAAGTTAAAAGCTACAGAAGTGTTAAGGTTAAAGTCTGTAGTCACACCACTTTAATGTATTTGCTTCACAGCTATTCCACTAGCAAATCCATATGCCCTCAACCCCTATCATCAACAGACATTTGGGTGCTCATTACTTTGATTTTTAATGGTTTTGTTCTTTAATTCAGCCCATAAAAACAGATTACAGTGCTCCTAAAAGTGACTTGTGATGACCCTCAGGCTTACCTACCTTATTCTCACAGAAGAAGGAACAAGTCTACAAACAAGCAAGAAGCAGCTGAGAAGTGCACATACTGTCACACTATTTTCTGAGCCTAGTTTTTCCTTTGAATGTTTAATTAATTTTTAAGGTTGAAAACTGTTTTACTTTTTAAAATAATAATTTCTTATATTAACCTTTCAGGCCATAACAATCAATATACATTCTTGTACCACAGTAATTAAACATTCACAGAAAGAAAGATCAACAGTCAAATCCAGATCAAATATATCCCAAACATTTGGGCCCCATTCCTTCCTTTGTCACAAAATGCTGGTGTGATGCTGGCAAAATCACTTGACTTTTCATATCTTTCTTTTAACTTGACTTCTCTACATCTGTGAGACTCGGTATGATACAGAAAGTGATTTTGGGGACCGAATCCTCTTTAGAAAGTCACCCTAAGTGAATTTTAAAAATTTAGCAAAACTGTGCTCTCTCCTTTGTGTTTTATGTTTGAAAAGTACTGCAAACATTCAAGAATATCCTCTAATACAATTGCCAAATAAGATAAATGCTAAAAATAAGGTTTCATAACAGTAATTAAAAGAGAAAAAAATGCACAGATTCTAATAGAAACTCTAATGAAGAACACTGGTTTTTTCCAATAGCAGAAGTTCCAGAATACTGGAAAGCCTTTAAAAAATCTTTAATTTCCTGCCATAGAATTCAAGATAAAGGAAGAAAATGACTCTTCATTAATCTTGTCTTCCTTTCAGAGGGACAAAACATAGAACCCAAAATTTGTCTTTCAGGCTTTCAGTCTCTCTTTAAAATTTGCCATCAGCAGGAGCCAGGGAACATGAAGAGGAGCAGCAACATTAATCCTGGGTCTGCCTTCTCTATGAATTGCCTACACAAGCCCTTAATTATTACATTAGATCAGGACAAAAATAGAGATATGGTAATGAAATCCACCACAATGATAATATTCTGACACATTACCTAATTTCTGAACATTTTTAAGTTTACTAACCCATCATCTTTACCCCTCAACAGTTTTGAGAAGTTTTAGACTTCCAGGCAGAGCCTTTCATCATCTAAACATTTTTCTTTGAACTGTTTTATCTGAGTGGGTTTGAACAAAGGAGCATGACTATCAGGACTCTTTCCTTTTCGTGTTTTCACAGAAAAAGACAGGGTGGGATCCCACTACTACACCCAAATAAAGTGGACAGTGTCAGGGCATGAGCTGCAAAATGTTATCACCACAGCAGGCCTCACTTTATCCTGCACTGGCAATTTTCTTCTTTCCAGGAAAAGAAGAGTGATAAATAGTCACAAGACAGACTTCATTAGAACAATACACTATTTACTTTGATGAGAGACTGTAAATACAACAGACTACATACATATTTGCTGTACAAAGTAACTCCCCATTTTCCATACACAAGTCCTATCAAATGTGAGCTTTACTAGACTTGTGGAGCCTACAGAATCTTGTTCATTTGGCTCATCACAGACCCCCTGAGCTTTGCTCCAGGGGTTGTGTACTTTAAAACTTTATCTCATTTTTTTATTTTTTAATTATTCCCTTCTCCTAGTCTCACCTCCATCCTCCCAGAAATTAAACTACTTTAAAAGTTTGCTTTCCTTTGATACCTTTCCTTCTGATCTCCAAGCATTGGCAAGATGACTTCCAGTTGAAAACAAGAGACATAAACCACTTCTATGCAAATCCTGTATCATATTTCACCCTTAAAACAAGCCAAGAAAAACATTTAGATCTATATGCTGTTTTCCCACTTATTTTCCCTATTAATTGAATCACAGAATGATTTGGGTTAGAGCAGACCTTAAAGATCATCTTATTCCACCCACCTGCCATGGAAAAGGACACCTTCCACTAGACCAGGTTGTCCAAAGCCCCATCCAACCTGACTTTGAACACTTCTAGGGATGGGGCAGCCACAGCTTCTTTGGGCAGCCTTTTTAGTGTCTCACCACCCTCACAGTAAAAAATTTCTTCTTCATGTCCCTCTTTCAGTTTAAAACCATTGCGCTTTGTCCTTTCAATAGCTAAAGCCATGATAACACAGAAAAAGTAAATGCCTCTATATAATATGCATGATTCCAAAATGTTTTTAGAACACAAAGAATGTCAAGTTCTTAAGAATTAATCTAATTAAAGCTGTGGTACAGGAAACGGTCATCCAAGATTTAAACTTACAGGCTGCAGGCAGCACTCCTGTCTTTACATCAGTTTTGTGGTAAGAAAATTTACAATCTTAGTACATTTTTCATAAAGTTTCACTCTGATTCCACACACCCCCAGAAAGCTGCTGAGCTACTTTCTGAACCATGCTCCCAGATCACCTTGAAGCAAAGTTAATACTTTGGTCACAGCAGTAGCTAAGTTTTAATTAAATTTTGGTTATGAATGTTATTTTCAGAATAAAACAAGCTGACAGACAAACATAGCATACAGAGGTGTCCTGTTCAGTCAGCCACAGAAACACAGGGAATCTGCAGTTCATGAACTTCCTGAAAGGTAGGTGACATCCTGATCACTGTCCCATGCCTGTTTTCCTTTTATTTTGCCTAATTACTTTTGGAACTCATTTGTACATTTAGCCATAAACACCACAGCAGTTCTACATGTGAATGACACCCAGTGTGAAAGGAAATGCCACCATCATTGCAGATCTGCTGCCTGGTAATTTCACTGAGTGCCCCTTTCTTTCTAGCTGCTGGGAAGTAATCACTCAGGCTCTACAGTCTGGTGTCCAAAAGAAGCAGACCATGATAGAGTTCTGACTCTCCGTGTTGAATTTATATAGTAATGACCACATTTTCTGCCACAATATCCTACAAGACAGTGGTAAAATGAAGGTAGGTCTCTGCACCAGTAAAGCTGAAGCATTTCCTACAGCTAAGAGCAAAAAACATGCATGTGGCAGCTGTCTGCTATGGGATCTAGAGGAATGAGCCCCCCAACCCTGGTCTTGGGAAGAGCACTGGCTGTCAGCAGCTCCCAGGGCTTTTCTCTGAGGCCTGGCTGTTCCTGCTGCATTGCTTCCTCAAGCAACGAAAAAAGCTTGATTCCTGTGAAACCCAGTGAAAGCCTTTTCACCTGTGTAAGTTTGTCAGCAAGCTGAAAGTACCCCACAAATCACTAGAGATCTGAGTGTGTAGGCAGTGGTCAAAAAAGTAACAAAACACAACAGTACAATGGAAATTTTGTTTCAAGACTCCTGTGGTGTAGTTGAATGTCAACACTGAATTGCTTCTATGAGCTTTAGGAGAAATGCAAGATGATGGCGTGAGAGGTAAGAGAAAGGAAGGTCTAATGAAGTTACAGACTTGACAATTCTGTACTTATAAATGCTCCTATCATATAAAATTTAATTGTGTTTCAAGGAAAACCAAGAAAGCATAATAGCTGAGACATTTTGCTCCTTAAATAGAAAAGTAAGCTTAAACATTGTTATGGAAAATTAATGCTTCTCAGACACTTTAGTTCCTTTATTTTTAATTCTCTTGTAAGTTAAAACCAAACTTGTAAATTTTCCCTTCCCCAACAGAACAGAAATTTATAACAGACCATCTTATTTCTAAGAAAAGTATTTAAGCACGCTGAAAACAACTCTTTGCAGCTATGTGTAGATATTGCACTTACATTATGGACACAGGGAGCAGCCTTGTTTTGTCCTAAACTATTTGTTATCAGTTGAGTCCAGAACCGAACCAACAAGCATATTAAAAGCAGTAAGGAAAGAGAACAAAACCTGTGACTCAAAGATAAATGCTAGTCTAGGTTTATCTGAGAAACAATGAAATGCAGCTAGAGAGGAGCAGCTTTTGAGTCAGCTTTTCTCTCAACATAGAATTAACACTGGTAATGTTTCTGTTCTGTGAGTGATGAAGCAACTGCCTCTTGGAAGCACGAGTGTGATAGTCATGGGTGGCATCCCAGGTCCCCTCACACCAAGCACCTTGAGAACTGTTTTCAGGTTTCCTAATGACATCAGCCTACCCTTGAGTGGAAGAAACAACAGGAGCAGGGCTTGGATGCAGACACCTAGAAAGGGCGTATAAGGTGGGATAAAGCAGTACTTTCCCAGGATACTCTTCCATCTGGCTAATAATGCTAAGGGACTCTGCGAGCCAAAAATGGTGTGTGTCTCTGGGAAATATTCAGACTTCTGCCATCAATGCACCCTAAAAAAACCGAACCCCGAACGGCACATGCCCACCGTGGCTGATAAGCTCCAGGACCTGAACACTCTCCCCTGTGCTGTGGAAAGCTACCTCAGCTTCTCTGCTTGGAAGCTGCCCCTTCCCAGTTTTACCTGGTTTCCCCTCGAGAGTCACGGAGTGGGGGAGTCCTCGCTCACCCCTTACCCTCCTCCCACTCCCACCCCGGCGAGCACCGAGCCTGAAGGGGCAGCATTAAACACTCAGTCGCTCACAACACACACCTGGAAGTCAGGAGTTGCTGAGGGGAGCGAACCTCTCCTGCCTCCAGCATCTCTCTCACCCGCCTCGGTCCGGGAGGCAGGCCCGGAGGGGAGGGGGGTGGGAAGGGAACGCGCTTTTTCCTGCCACGGCAGCGGACAGTGAATCCAGGGAAGACAGCGGGGCAACGGCGCTGCCCGGAGAGAGCGCAGGGGCAGCGGGAAGGGTTGAAGAGCTGTTCCAGGTACTCGCCGAGACCGCGCACGAAGCACCGCACGAACCGCGGCGGCAGCGAGCTCAGGCTGCCCGGACCGCAACCCACCCGCGAGGAGAGCGAAACACCAGCGCAGCGGGACCATCGACCAGCCCGCTCCGCCCCAGGCTGTGCCGAGGGGCTTCCCCGATGCCCCCGACGGCGCAGCCCTCACCTCCTCCTGTCAACGCCGGGGTGTCGCCTCGCCGCCCCGCATGGGCACCCCCGGCGCACACCCACCCCGGCCCGACACCTGCGCGCAACGGGGCGGGGCGGCCGGGGCAGAGCGGGCGGTGTCGAACCCTTCCCGGCTCTCGCAGAGCCCGGAAGGTGCTGCCGGCGCTGTCACCCCGGAGTGGGAGAGGGGATCCCCCGCCCCGCCGAGCCCCGACACCCTGCACCCTCCACGGGGCAGCTCCCGCAGCGCGGTGTTCCAGGACGGGGCACGGCGGAAGGTGCCGTGAGAACACCTGCCGTGAGAACAGCTGCTGCTGTTCTCAGCCACAGCCCAAAGATGCCAGCTCTGTCCCTTCCAAGAGATGCGCTGTTTCCCGATTCACGCGGATGTATGAACAACGCCGTCGTTCGTGAGTTGGACGGAGATCAGGCAACACCCGCCCGCCCTGCGGGAAGAGTCGCTGCTAGTTCTCCCACTAGGAAAAATTTCTTCACAGAAAGGGTGATTAAATATTGGAATGGGCTTCCCAGGGAGATTGTGTAGTCATAGTCCCCGGAGGTGTCTAAGGAAAGACTGGACGAGGCACTCAGTGCCATGGTCTAGTTGACAAGGTGATGTTCGGTCACAGGTTGGACTTGATCTCAGAGGTCTTTTCCAACCTAATTGATTCTGTGATTCTGCTGCCCTCCAGCCAATACCCTTATCAAGGTTGTAGGAGTTCAGCACCACCCTGCCCACAGGAAAGTGCTCTTGCAAGCATGCTCTGCACCAGAGGTAAAAAAATACAAATTGCATTTTGGAGTATGAATTCTTTCAACAGTGAGACAGCCTGAGAGAAGGTTTAATGAAGCCAACAAAGACAGGAGGACTTGTGACCTGCCTGTCTTGGGAAGATGACGACTAATCTATATGCACAGGGCTTTGTGGCTTGACTGATTTGAAGAGCTCTCTGCAGGGTCACCTTGTGAGTACTGGGCAGCCACCGCAAACCATGCCATAAAGTACTGACGTGCAAATCCTGTGCAGTCTCATTTCACAAGACTAATTATTGCAAATTTGCAAAATACTTAAAAAATAAGGCATTATTTTCTTAAAAACAGACCTCCAACAGAAAACTGAGATTACAGCCTTAACAGGCCTTGTTGAAAACTCTCTGGAGCTTTTGGGCTCCCAGGTGGTCCTTGAAGGCTGAGGCCAGATGAGCTTCAAAACACAGACAGACTGCCCAGTACCAAGCTAGATACAAGGTATGTGTCTAACACTGAAATTCAGCATTTAGGTTCTCCATTTTCTCTTCACACATCATCCTTGTAACACACTAAATCTTTGTTACTTCCATTTGCATGTTTCTTCACAAAGGGAAAACCAACAGGGGAAAAAACAAAATTTCCTTTCTTTGTTCTTTTCTTGGCTATCTCAATTTTGCTGTAAATCATGTTAATGCACAGGCTTTACTCAAAACAGCAAAGGTTTGCGAAGAAACAATGAATAACTGATAGTACTTGTGTGTTTCACAAACTCTGGCATTGATCAAGCCAGTTTTACTGTTGTTTGACCAATGCACAATAGCTGTCTACAGCACAGAGCAAGAGATTAGGCTGTCCAGACACTACAGGTAGCTAATCAGTCTTTACAAGCTGACAAAAACCCAATTAGATTCAGGAGAGCCCTGTATTCACTCCAAAGATTTTCTCCAAGTTAGGAAATAAGTTATCCAATCACAGTTCATTGCCTTTTTTAAAGGCACTTTCTAATCTAACACAGGATTAGTGCAGTCAGCATCATTTTAGACTTTTCAAAGATTTGCTCTTTGTCATTTTGTAATTAGGATCATGACACTTTCAAACTGCAAATGCACACTCAAGTACACCAAAGCTTTAGCCAGACACAGCTGATTTCAGTAAAGCACAATATACAGCAAGGAAGAACCAAGCTGTGCAATCTCTTAAAATGCTGGCACCAGACACGAATCAACATTGAAATACAAAATACTTTCCAAAGGACAGCAAGCAAAATGGGTTTACCTACAATTTGACACTCCCCCCCATCGATTTCAATCTGACACTAATTATTTCTTTGAATTTCTGTGCTACCAATGCTTGAATAGTACACTGTTACTTTGACATTTCATGCACCTTTTAGATAAGAACTGAGCTCGCTATCAAGTACGTGTGGTTTTCTAACACTTATTTTTACATTAGGACAAATTCAAAACCACTGATTAATAAAATTCACTGTTCAGGAAGCTCTGAGAACTTAGGGTTGGATCTGAGTCTGTAGGTGGTTTGTCTTTACAGTTTTACTAGTGGATTTGTCTGCACATTTCTTCCTGTTTTTCACATGGGTGGGGAGTCAGTGCAAGAGCCAAGAAAATTTAGTTCTACTACCTGCTACACAGACTCAAATGACACAGTAGCACATGAAGTTTACAGCATTGAAATAGTGAACTGCATGGTTTTCAGAGATTTGCTTTCTGAGAACACTGAATAGATATTTGTGCAGCTGACTTTGATTTCACTGTCCTCAAACACACCAGGAGAGATGCTGAGGCAAACCAGTTTAATATCCCTGGAAATGAAGTAAGTACACCCATAGTTTGAAGTCTCCCAATTTTCAGATAGAATACAAGTCACTCCAATGAAGCAATTTTCTATTTAGAACAAAACCAGCAAAATCCCAAACCATCTTTCATTTAACCACGCAAAAGAAGTACAACCCCAACAATCATCCATTGTCTTAGGTAGTACAGATTAGTCAGCATCTACCAAAGGTCCTGAGATAAGTCTTACCTAGAGACTTTAGTTCCATTCACAAATCCACATGCTTAGTAAACACAGTACAAAATATTTAGTCTTTATGTTGATTTCTCTTTTAGGAAAACATGGAATAGTTGGCTACAATTTTTATGCCTCAAGTACATGAATAGCAAAATAAAAGATATGGGTGGAAATGGGGCAAGGGGGGGGGGGGAGAAAAACCTCAGTTTTCAAATAAGGATTTTCAAGATCTTTGAAACTTGGCTACGTGTAATTAGTGTCTCAATCAGCTGGTCAGTTCAGGGCAGAGGCAGATAAAGAATACAAAAACAACTGTAAGCCACTACTCCTGTATGGCAGTGCCACAAAAGCAGAAGGTTTTGTGTGACAAAGCTAAAAGTGGATCTGTATGCTAATGAGCTAGGTAGTTTAACATCACCTGATCTGTAAGACACCCGTAGCAGCCCAGAAGAGGCAGAAACCACTTCAACCATTGGTAATAACAATTCCTTCAGAGCTTACTTTGAGGCACTTTGTATGCAGTATGCACCAGGACTACCTCATTTCTATCCTCTCACACATGCACCTACCATCATGTACAGACGTGACAGAACATTATTACACTGCAGATCTTGTATAAAAGTTAAATCCCAAAGATCCTGAAGATTTTCAAGTTAAGAGTCCAAATGTGAGCTTCCCTGCAGCATCTGTTGTCTAAAAGTTACTGTGAGAAGAATGCAACCTGCAGCAGTTTACACCACAATGTAAGTGAAATGCTTCAGTTTAGTCCAAAGTGCAAAAATAAATACTATTTTTCCCTAAAAGGTGCTATCAGTAGTAATTAAGTCTCAGAGAACTGTTCCACCTAAACCCACTCATTAAATAACTACGAAGCTTTTTATCTAAGTAAATTCTAAGGATGATCTGCTGTACAGTTACCTCTGCTATGTTATACAGCCAGGCTCTGACCACTCAGTCTAGCTGAAAATACTTATTACAGCAGATGATAGCACAGCACCCATACTGCTCTCTAAGAGCACAGTGCATGAGGATGTGAGGGCATCCACATATTGCTGGTTACATTTTTGGTTTTGCCTAGTTTCCCCTGCATCTAGTTTTTGGCCAGTTGAAAGCTAATTCGATCTTGTACTACTGACAGCATTTTTTTGCTCATTCTTGAGTTGTCCGTTAGGGGTAGCAGCAGTTTTATAGTCATTGTCAGGTGCTTTTATCACTAAGAGTCTGAAAGGTTCAGTTGTTTTCCGAAGTCTCTGAACAACAACAGCATTCTGCAACTTTGCTTCCTCCAGCGTGAGTGTCTCATCTTGCAGCTCTCGAAAGGGCAGGGAAGTCGTCAGTGTGAAGGGAACACTTCCCTCCGATCCTTGATACTTTGTTATGAAGTCTCTGACATGGCTTATTCTGAGAAGAAAATAAGAAAACTTGGCATTAGAGTTTTGGCACTGCAATCCCAACACAGACCATGTGTGCAAACACTCACAGCCACCACAGGATGAGAATGAGACACAACTTCATTTAATGCCTGATGGCACAGAATTGGAGGAATATAGATGGGGTAGTATCCTGAAATGCCTGATCCATTTGGGAGGCAAGGACTAAGGTTTGCATGCTCTAAGAGTACTCCCAAGGGAACAGGGATGAGCATCTTATTCTGAGCACTCAAATGCTTCACCATTGCTCAGACAGTATTTACACAAGCCTACTATTTCCTAACCAGCTGGTGGAGCTCTTACCTGAGGATTCTGTAGCCAAGAGCTAGAATAAAGATGCTTCCAGAGTGTGATACATGTAGCAGAACTATAATAAAAATCAAGAAGAAGGGTCTGCAAAAATTGTCTGGATAGCTGATACATTAACTAGGACCAAATATAACCTCATCCTACCAAAGCAGGTGCAGTGGTGAATTCACTACAGATTTAAGTTGCCTATTAAGGTGTGAAGAACCTTGCAACAAGTGAGCAAGACAGAGGTTTCGCTGCAGAACAATCAGGACTGATCAATTTAATTAGAAAATGAAGATGAGAGGATACATCTGTCTCAATAAAATAAATGCAGTGTCAGTGTTCATTCTCCGGTCCTGAGACCAACTGGTAGACTCTGGCTACTGGCAACTTAGCTTATCCTTCCTCTCTCCCATTCACAGTGCAGCCCATGAGGTTTACTGCCTCCTGGGAATGGTCCATGACCTGAGCTAACATCTGAACCATGGCTAGATACCAACAGAGGAAGTGCTGGCTGGCTTGGGGGAGAGCCATCCTAACAGTTTAGCAGCACAGATGACCAAAGTGTTACGCCTCAGCCATACTCACCCACCAGGGCAGATTTGCCAGCATAATAAAAAACAATTCCTGTGCACGCAGGCCTCCGTTAAGAGACATTGCTTGGTCTTACAAGCCTAGAGCCTGAAAAGCCTCAAGCAGGACTAAATTTTTGGTTGGACATTTACACGTGTCTACATGCATTATATCAGAGTTCACTGTGCTCCAAGAGCAGCTCGCAATTAGCCAGCGGGTCTCTGCTTTAGAAAGTCAGTTTTCCAGGCTCCATACCCAATACTCCAGGTTCATGCTAACTTAGCAAGTGCTCAAGAAGGCACACAGAGACAGCTCTGTGTGCTATTCCTACAGCTCTACTCTGCCAGTTGCTACACTCTCATGTCTTGATTCCCCACATTGCAGTTCTACAGTGGTACCTGCACTTCTGCTCCACTCTTTCAGCAGAAATCAAGTCACATCTAAAGCAGCAGTTATTGTGGCACATACACGTTCTATCTGCAAAAGGGTAGAAGTAATCAATTTACCCAGACACTACAACCTATGTGCTACATGTTATTAATCTATAGTTTAGTTAACAAATAGTTGACTATATTCTGTGTCTCCACTGAAAAGGAGTGCTGTGTGTGCAATCATCACACTTAAGGATATGTACTCTAAAAGGATTTCCCTCTAGTTCTTATTGGGTCGTACACAAATACTGTATACAGCACAAACATGCTGGTCTTGTGGCAAGAGGGTATGTTATAATGGAATATTTATTGCATGCTACTTCAAAAAGAGCATTGCATCAGAAAGGCTGTTGTCCTGCTTATCTCAGATGTTTTTTTTCCTCTCAAAAGCATTTAGCAGTTGTTCAAACTGCTATTTTTCATGAAGACAGAAAGCTTCTAAATACACTTAAATGTGTGAAACTTGGAATAATTAAGATATTAAGCCCTCCAATTAAGTATTTATAATTAAAACAGCAATTGACCCTTCATCAGTACATCATAACACTCTTTCAGTTCATACTTCAGGCCACTAACAGTAATAAATAAGTACAAGTCAAAGAAAAAACTACAGTCATTAACCTTCAACTGCTGAGCTTTTCTTCTGCCCAGCCACAGACATATACAGCTTATCTTGACAGCAGCCTGGGTTGTATTAATCTGTGATACCTTCAAATTGCTTCACAGAGAAGCATAGTCAACATATCCTTTACATGACATGACCGTATAGTGCCGGAGTAATTTCTCAAATTACAGATTTGAGAAAGGTCTCTAAAGACAGTAGGTCTACAACTGAATGTTAAAAAGTGTTAATCCTACTTTCTCAAAGCTCCTGCATACATGTGCTGTGCTGACACCTTCTGTCATTATCCAATTTATAAGCTTCCTTGGGAACTGGATGTTTTACTAATTAATAATTAAACACACTGGGTGCATTCTATTCTGTCCATGTTGACACGCAGGAGATGAACCTCCCCTGCCCAGTGCACTGACTCTGGCCCTCCCCAGAGGTTTCTCTGGCTCAGTTCTAAGTCACATTCTCCAGCTTCCACCTGTGGTGCTGTCTATGCCCAATGACTAGCAGGCTTTTTACTAAGCCATTTGCTCCAGATGTAGTTGTTTTGGGAAATCTGTAATCTTAAAAGCTGTTTCCTCTAGTAATGAGCAATACCACCCTAACTTCTACTAACCTACAAAGAACTCCTACAGTTTCCTCAGATTTTCCTTTATGCTCAGTTATGAACTGACTACTAATATCAGTTCACATTCCTCTTATGCTCCTCTCTTCTCAACTAATAGATTTCTCAAAATTCAAAGGTTTTCTAGACACAGCAGTCCAACACTAAGTGAACTGAGGAGACAGATTATCCACAGAAATCAGAGACTTATGTGTACAGGCATAACACAAATAGTTCAGATGTAAATATATATGACAGTGCTAAAATACATCTTACCTGTGAGAAACATTGAATTTCTGAATTATCCTTTCCCCATCAGCTAACCAGATCTGGATGTTAGTGATAGGCTCCAAATCATTCAAGGGTACTAAAGGCAGGTGTCTTTTGTCATCAGGTCCTTGATGATCATCTCTCACTTTAGAGATTATCCTTGGAGTAGCACTGAAAAGAAAAGCCATGTGAGGTTATGGCTTCTGGGTATGCATGTAAGCTTGAACCTCCCTCCAGAACTCTGCTTCTGGAGCTTTCTGCCCTGTACCAGGGTGCACTGATGACTTCTTATTTTAACAAATTTAGGAACACCCACATAAATATCATCTTTTTTTCAACTGCATGCCAATACTTTCATTTAAAGACTTCAACGTGGTAAAGAATTTCAGTCTGCTCATATTTAACATTTTTATAAGACCGAAGGATTAAATATGAATAGACAAGAGACAAAACAGTCTGAAGATGCTTCATGCATTTTTGTACTCTAATCACACAGGTGAAACTTTAAGGGGGTTGAGTACTGAATTTGCATACTCAAAGTTAATTTTCACCATAATGTGATTACAGTAATTCAATTTAACTGAATGTTGTTAGCCTTGATTTAGACTCCAGCATCATCTATTTCAGCTTAGAAGAATTACTCATCTATCAGAGCAATTGACTTAATGTGAAAAATCCAGGCTGATGCACACAGCATTTGGATTTTATTTTTCTAAGGCACTTTCTACAGCCAACCCTCCCACAGGGGCAAAGACACACAAGATGACTTGACAGAATACAGGGATCTCAGTCCAAGACCATGATCTTAAAAATCAAACAACAGAAAAATTACTTGCAAAAAGTTTTATTCTGAAGAACTGTCTAGAGCTTAGTGCTTTCATGACTAAGCCTTTTCAGCATGTGCTCTTTAACTCATCGTTAGGGCTGATCCGATGGGCACATCCTCAGCTCCCGTGAGTATAACCAGATGTTTGCTTGCAGAGCAAGAGCAGTGACTTAAGGAGTCACCATTTCTCTTCTGGGCTCAGCTGTGGTCACTGACTACATGAACACTTAGCAGTGGTTTGCAGAAAAGCTTTCTCCTTGCACAGAAAACTGATCAGTTACAGTTTCTTGAGAGAGAACTGGGTAACTGATGGCCATAGAACAATAACTATACTGCACATCTGCTTTCTTATGTTCTTGTACCTGTCTTAGTTTAATCATAAAGCAGAAAAGTCTTAGCTAATTTATTATTAAAACAAAGATGGTTAACAACTTAATATATTCAGGCTAATAAAGTTAAGAGTCTTGGGCTCAAGTTCTTAGTCGGAGGTATTTCAAAAACTCTTATTTCCCACTGCCTAGTTAAGTGCTGCCCTAACTTCTAGATTATCAACCAGTAGAGACACCTTTTATTTCTTCAATTGAAACTCAGCAAAAAGAATGAGGATCAAGAAATCTCATCCCCAAGTGAGTGGTAAGAGCTGTTCAGTGTGATTGGAGGCAGATAAGAGACATCAACCTGTTTTGGATTACACAGAAATTAGCTGGGCCACAAGAACTTGGCACCAAGAGGCAGATCCGTAAAATATTCTGGTCTTCCAAGTACAGGTGACTTACTACCATCCACCTGCCTCACTAGCTCACACCCAGCTTCTGTTCATGCTTGACCTCAGCACAGAAGAAGACTTAACTGCCCTCTAGATCAGGATGAAAAGCTTGAGCACCAGCAAGACGATGTTAAACAGTCTTGTGAGCCGAGCAAAAAAAAAAAAAAAAAAAAAATTTCAAGTCATACTTCAGTCCAACAACGATCAGCTTTTGCTGTCTGCTTGCTCAGTGATGTTCAGTTCCCAGCTCAGACACTGCAGCACTCATGTGCACAGCAGAGGCTGCAGAGGTGCTCAGCTGTGCAGCTGCCTGTGTCTGGCCCAGCCTGGGCTGAACTACATCAGTCACAGCTGTAGCTCAGAAAACTGTCTCCCATGGATACAGATTCTGGTGTGGTGTCATTCTCAAACCAGCTTCCCTCAAGGTCATCTCTCAATTTGTGGTAGACACTGGAGATGATTCTTTCAATAGCAAGTGTGTGTGAAGCTGAAGCCAACACTTTATTGAAGCTGCAAGAGTCAGAAGAACTGTATTCATCAAGGTTTAAAGCATTTCTATATATAACAACTTTGCTCTTGAAGAACTAACAGATAAAGCCATCTAGTGGTGAGAGCTTTGACTAAAGTCACAAATTAAGAATCTAAGTCTCTTATTAGGCTGACATTGAAGCACTGCAACTCCTTTTAAAGGCTTACTCCTTTTATAAGATTATCAAAAGAAGATGTAAACTAAAGATTGAAGAGATATAAGAGCATCCTGCCAATTTCCTGAAAAGAAAAAGCCCAGGAGTGAGGTAACATGACTTACCCTGACTGATGCTTAAGAAGCTTGACACACATTGTTTTACCCTAATGAGGTTATAGAGCAAGCCCACTTTGATACAAGGGATTTCAGGCAATAGTTTAATTAACGTATTTCTGATGCAGTCCTAAAGATGCATTGATAAGCTCAACAGAGAAGTGCAGCTGTAAATCTAGTCATAATCTCAAACTATGAAATGCAGCTGAATGGTGGTAGATAAAACATAATATATCCATTAGTTATACAAGTTTATAAGGTACATTGGAAAATTCTGGTAAGTCTCATTTGTTTCTCCTGTAAAACAAAAAGTGGAAGATCAAGCTCATCTGAGCTGTATCAATATACTTATTTCTAGTTCTTCTAGTTTTCCTCCAACAAAACTTTTAAAGAGCCAGCCAACAGACCAATTCATAATGGTTCATGCACCACAAAGTTCCTCCACCTAGGATCACTGGCAAAATAGACTAATGAAGTGGTTTTTTGATAAGCAGAAGTTTAGATAGGCAGTAAGCTGAAATAAGCTCTTCAGTCATTTGTCTCTCTCATTTCTAACTAATCACACAAATGCAACTGTGGAAAAGGAGTTCTATAGCTTAAAACTTGTTCCAGGTCTCAGCCAGCTCTACTCCATTAAGCTTTTCTGTTGCAAGTGTAGCATATACATGCAACGGACATTTATCTTAATAAATAATTAAGATAAATTCCTGCTCTTAAGCAGGAATTGAGCACTAATTTATCGAGTAGGAGCACTTATTGCTCATGTTTCCAACATCAGCAAAAATATTTACTTGTCTTTAAAGAATAGGCTCTGATAGCATAGCACAGAATAGACTAGAAGAGTAGAAAAAAAAAAAGAAATGCTAAGCAAGTTGTAGGATTCAATGTACAAGACTCAGTGCACAAGACCAGTCAACCGAAATTCACAGATTAGCATGTTTCCAAATCCTAACTTGCCTACTGGGAAGCAAGATCATTACTTGCTGTAGGCATGGCAGAGCAAAACAAGCAGCTGAACAACCTACCATTTAGCACTGGTTAGCAGCAGAAACCCAGCACACTGAGGATCTGTTTAGTTTTGCTACCTACATAAAATAAGGTTAAGTTCTTGACCCTTGTTTGCTCAGGATTTCAGTGCCACCAAAAGAGAGTCTTGCAGTGTCTCATCCATCTCTCAAGGGAAGGTTTTCCCTATTGACAGTATCTACTCAAGCACGGAGCAACTGAATTGACTGTGCTACTGGAACAGATGCAACTGATAAAACACATACTTGCTTCTCTGAAGCCTGGAACCACTGATCCTTTACTGTTATCAGGCTCCAGTTCTGCACATTATCTTCTTCCCCTGTCTAGGTCACGTTTTCCCTTAGCACGAGCACTGGGCCTTAGCAGCCAAACCCTTCCCACTTAATTGACACAAGCTGCTCACCTAAGGTTTCACCACAGCCTACAACCCCAGCCTGCAGGTCACTCAGCAGTGCCACCTGTGGAGGATCCTGTAGGCTCCTGGTCACTGAAAGTGTCCTGTTCCCTAAGCTCAAGCCTGCTTTTATAGGCACGTAAATCTTTCATGACAAGAATATGTGAAGCAGATAATCTGGCTGGAGTAAAGAAAAATCATAGAGATCAGATACATGAACTCCTGGCCTGTCCCTCTACAACAGCTGGCCAAAATACAACAGTTTGGTTGTAAATCAAGTACAGTTTTAGCACTGGCCTTAGTGGCTGACACTCTCCAACTACAAGAGAGACATGGAATAAAGAGGATCACTGTAACATGCTAAAATGCCTTAATTGCAACAAATGCATGATTAAATATGGAGCAATTTTAAGAGAACACAAAATAACCTCTTAATTCTTCAGTTTCCTTTATGGGATTGTCATACTCCCCTCTTCTCAAACATGAAGCTTTAAAAGAGATTCTTTTCTCTTAAGTCACAGAAGAGCGACAGCCTTTCAGCTGGAAACACTTCTGCTAATATTGTGAGTTCAAACTAAGAAAGATGTTAATACAGCATCCTGTCTGTATTAACACAGCAACATGGCCAATTATCCCCCCAAGCTCCAGGTTTCATGGAGAGACACCAAGATCGCTGCAGGATGGAGCATTCACCCTGTGAGCAGAGGCTGAGGAGAGGTGTTTGTTCAGCCTGTGGATGATGGTGGTGGTCATGGGGCACCTACAAACAGCCTGTCAGGGTCTGCAGGAGGCCATCAGGAGGAGGGGGCCAGGCTCTTCATGGAGGACAGAAATTCAAACAAGAGACATTCAGACTGGATATAAGGAAAAACTTCTTTCCTACAAAGACAGTCCAGCACTAGAGCAAGCTGTGCAGCTTTTCACTCTTGCAGGATTTCAAGACCCAATTGGACAACAGCCTGAGCAACCTCATCCGCCCCTGCATCTGGCCTTCTTTGAGCAGGAGTTTAGATTAGAAAATTCCAGAGGTCACTTCCAAGCTGAATTATAATCCTTAACCTAGGTACAGTTCCCTTCAACTACTGAATCATAGAGCACGTCAGACTACTCACCTTCCTAATCTGTAACCGGGACCAGAAAAGGGATGAAACACTGGCTTTTTCGATGACAAGTACACCTTATCTTTTTTATCTTCCACTTTCACATCTACCTCCTCCTTATCAAAAACTTTTCGTAGCTCGAAAGGCAGTTCCCTTAAAAGAAAAAGAAGGCATGTCAGATAAAGAACTATACTGTTTTCAGTATACAAAATAGATTAATGATTAATACTTGTTCTACATTTAGCCTTTCAAGGATGATGCTTTAAAAAAAAAAAAATCCCAAGAATTTACTAAGAGTTATGTTAAGTGCATGGCATACAAACAACTTCAAGTTCCTGAACTGCAAATTAACTAGAAATGGAACAATAAAAAAAAAGTTTGTTGAATGATGTTCAAGTTTACTCAGCAGTTACCACTTTTAAGGACAGGATGTGTAGGAAGTTGAGTATTGCCGCACATTGCTACAAAAAGGCTGAATTATTTTATCCCTATAGTAAAATGAAAAAAAAAAGACAATTGGCTTTTAAAGAGAAAGAACTGAGTTTAGACACAATGTGGTTAATTACAAAAAACCACAGCCTTTAAAAATTAGATCATCACTAATAGCCACACTCTTTAGTGCAATAACATCACCTTGGTGATGCTTTAATTGCATTAAGCAGAAAACAACAATGCCTTTGTCTATGAGCTCTGATGCAGACGGTACAATTCGGGGTGGAGGGGCTCAGCTGGCAGAGGGGCTGTACTAAGTGCTTTCTCTACCATCAATGATTATGCAGGAGCCATCCCATAATTAGCATCTTCGCAGGCAAACAGTGGAAGAAAGGTGGCAAACTTCTGATGAATGCACACAAAGAACACAAAGAGCTTTAAACAGTGCAGTTAATTGCTATTACAACTAACACAGATGACAGCCATAGAGGAGAAATAGTATAAAAATCAGTATTTTTTCATAGGCTAGCAAAGTATGGAAAAGAAAAATACAATGGCTTAGTAATTTCACATGCTTGATAAGGAGTTATTGAATTATATTATCCTCTCCATCTGTATGGGGTGAGAAAACAGACTACAAATTAAAGGTTCAAAATCACGTTGGTCTGTATGGTCAACCTGCTTTCTTAAAGCAACAACTGCAAACACTAGCAGAAACCAAGACAACACGTTAACTTTTAACAGAAGGATAAAGACAAGACACAGGGATAAACATAAGATTTCTGTGTACAGGCAAAATGACTGAAATAGCGAGTTTGTACTAGGAAAAATGTCTGAAACTTAAGACTGACCAGAGTTTCTTGATGTTACATGGACCATCTGTGCCCATTTAAGGCTTTGCACGAACAAAAAGAAAACAAAGACCATAAAACCAGAAATGCTCAACCACTTGTGCATTGAGTTCATTAGTCAAAATACCATTTGATCAGAAGCTCTTACTGGGCACTGATTTATTCTTTGTTTTGTTCTGCACCTGCTGTGCCCCCCACCAACACTGCCTTTTATCTCTTCATCAGCAACTGCACACTACTGCCACTTAAAGCTGTATTACACCTGTTGATGTTCCAACAGCCATTAGCACTGCAGGAACGAGACCAGCAGGGCCTGCGCTCCTACAGGGACACTGCAGTGCAGCAAAGCCAAGGAGCCATGTAAAAAACCTAGAGCATAAGCTAAGTGCTACCTGAAGCACATTAACTCAGGCTGGTTAAGAACACAAAACTTGCTTACCCCTTTTTAATGGAGTCCAAGAACTGCTGGTTTGCAACATCAGTGTAGCTCCGAAGTTCGCTGTCATTTACCGTAAACCCGTTTTTCCAAAGTTTAATGATGACATCAACCTACAAAGTAAGGACGAGCCTCATTATAACACTGATGTAAAAGCAGCTTGGTATACCCACAGTACCCTGTGATTATAAATCATCCACTCCATGGACTAAAAATACCGAGAGCAGGCTCACTGTAATCTGCCTTGGCCCCAGGCCAACAGGCACAGCAACTGCAAGGGGTAAGTGACATTTCTAAGGATCTTGTGTCAATCAGGGTTAGAAATAAACCTTCCCCCAGTCATTCTGCTTTCCCAGGTCAAGAACACTCCTTCAATTCAGAAAGGAGGAAAAAAATAAAAGAGCTGGACAATCCCAGCCAGCTGCAACTCCTCAAGAGCTAATTTGAGAGCACACATGCCTGGTGGTGTTGGAACACCAACTGCCAGAATAGTCCAGTTGGGGATTTACCGGGGTAAAGCCTTGTTCTGGTCATTCAGGAAGATTTTCTCAAAGTAAAGGCACTGAGATAATGCATGCAGAAGCTTTTCACTCAGAAAATGAAGCAAGTCCCAGAAAATTCACTTTCACACAGTCATACATTTATGTTACCCTGGAATTCCTGGGTATATTCAAAACCTTGGTGTTAGGCGAATGGAAAAATAAATTCTCAGTGATTCGTTAACTTCGCCAGAAATCATCCACTACTCCAACTTGTAGCCTTCACACTGTTTACTAAAATCTCCCCAACTGTAACATGGATATATTTGGGACTGTATTTTCATATTTATGCATCATGCCATTTAAGGAAGCATTTGATTATCCAGGTCTGAATATTTCATATCCCTGAAATAACCTTGTCTTGACAGATAGTTGGCCACAGGTGAGGTATAGGAAGCAGATATGAATGCAGAATTCACCTCAGCTGGAAATTACTTTGAACTAGGCTAGATAGTACCTGACAATTTTATCTTTTTTTCTTTTTTGCATTTTGACTTGTTAGATGATTGCTACATAAATAAACAGGCATATGCAAACTGCTGAATAAAATTCCTTCTCTTTCAGTTGGGTAGTCTGTCAAAAAAAGTTTACAGCACTCAGCAAGATTACATTCTTTCAAAAACTCTTGTATCTTATAGCACCAATGCATGTGGAAGGAGTTCTAATTATGGGAAGGTTCCTTTACAGTGAGACAGTATGCAAATTTAGCATGGGCTAATTATTCCACACCAATTTCCCATTTAGGCATTGACACAAGCAATGTCATGTAGCACTGTTTCAGAACTGCAATTTAACATACTGCTCCTGAAATTCCTTTTTTTTCCAGGCTCAGTAAGGGACTCATGAACGTAATTTCCAGCAATGCCCACTCCACATTTCTTCGTGACATCTTTGTTCTACATGGCCTTTTCTCCCTCCCCTTGGCAGTCTTTCATGAGTAACAGAAAAACTTGAAAAGGACAGAATCACCAAGATAAAAACCCACACTGAACATCCCACTACCATAATTATATGAATAAGAGTAAAGGAAAAAATATGGGCTATGCCTCTGCACAAGAAGGCTGCAGCTCCTTAAATAACTTCTTATGTAATAGTAGTTGTCATTCCTTGGAACTTCTGCTCATGTCACTCTCCTTACTAATAAAGCAGAAGTGCATTAGCCAATGCCAGCATCAGTTCTAGAATGACACTAAACCCACTATAAATTAGTAAAAGCCAGAAGTACAGCAGCACAGGCCTGGCTGACTGAGAGATGAGAGGCTGTTCCTACAGCTCTCTGAATTCAGTGTTTATTTACAAATGTACTGGATAAGACTGTTGGGCTTCTGGCATCTGTTTTCCAGAGTACCCCTGCAGTGCTGTTATGTTAAACAGGAGTATTTTTTCTTCACTGCCTACCTGATTCTGGACTGTAGTTGGGGGCACACACATAGCACCAACCTTCTGAGCTTCTTCAAACAGGTTATCTACAAAGTACTCACAGTTTTGTTCTGTACCATTCAAAATCTGATCACTGGTTCCTGATTTACACACCCTGTAGAACAAAGACAAAGTAAAAATGACTCCTCAGAGGATGCATTAGAGGATAAGCAGGTACCCCAGGAGCTCAGTACTAAAAGGTGTAGAAGGCTCACTCCCCTCCACCCAGACTTGGCTGTTACAAAACATCAGGTCAACTTTGTGTTGTGCACTTTCTATAAACTTCTTCTCAGTCTCTTAACTGCTACTATTTGCACTTTAGAAGTAAAGTTAAAGAATGACAATAGAAAAGGTGAATTCATCTGTGCGAAACTTCTAAACTTGATATCAGAACAAGGAATGCAAGTTAGGTGATTCATACTTCTAATTCAAACCATCCAACATTTAACTGCACACCAATGAAGGGCCTTCCTCAAAGCATTTCCATGATATAGGCTTAGGTTCCACTGCCATAGGTTTTAAAATACATATACAAGAAAATTGCCCTAGGATTTACTCCCCCACCCCCCCTTGACCCTGCCCATTCCCAGCACCACCATCACTGTCTTGGACAGTGCATTAGAGAAAGTCAAGCGACTCAACACCACTGGAGCACACTGAAGAAATACAATAGAAGCCTTCAACACCGAGGAGACTGCCAGGGTATTAAAAAAGATGCATCAACCACATCTTTTTATAGAACACTGTATATGTGACAGCTGTTTCTGTTAAATTTTCGCCAATCAAAATGCAGAAATATGCAACCTGAATGAATGATTATCTTTCAGTATAGGTTCTTTGCATAGTAAGAGGATTATGCAGCTTTTAGTAAACATTGCAGGAGTTATTCCTATTGGAGATTCAGAAAAGTCTATTTTAAGCAATTCAGGAAAAAAAAATCCCAGTTCTTGAAAAATACCCAGTTTCACATAAAACTCTGCATTGAATTCAGAAGCAGCAATGCTTACTGGCATGGTAATTTGATACATTTGCATAAAAAGGAATTGTTTGCAGTGCATCTATGCCACACTAAGAATCCCTACAGATTAACATCTTTAAACAAAAGAAAACCTCAACAACATTAAAGAAGAAATTTCAAAAGTATGCTGTCCCCATTAGTTTTCTAACAGAACAAAAGAAACTTGAAGCATTAATGTAGGTATTCACTACGCTTTACCACAGAAACAGAACTGGAAAACCAAACACCTCCACATCAAACGTAGAGCTGCACAGTGAGTTAGCAATTTGTAAGGCTGCCTTGCTTTTTTAAATAAAAATATTTACAGAGCTTCTTGCATCTAGGAAACATTTCAGGTATGTGAGGAATCTTTCAGCAAAATGATAGCATTTTTTTGAAACCTTCAGTACATGTGGAGTAAGTGGATAGAGAAAAAATATTAAATTTTAGAATTTAACAAAGTTTGAAAGGTCATAACAGGACACACAGACAGCAATGGGAAAGGAAGGGGGGGAAATAGGGAGGGGAGAACTGGCACCTACCATTCTTTCTTTACAGTTTGGATATTGTCCATGTCTTTCATTCTGGTGCGCCACCTAATTATGGAAAGAAGACGGTTTAAAACCAAACCAAACCAAAATAAAATGCCCAGCACACTTTCCCTCCTTTTGTAGCTGGAACACTATATTTTTTCCTGTGCAGATAATACATTTAACCAGAAACCTCAACCTCCCCCCCCACCAAGTCTCCAGATGGTTCTTTGTTTTCCTGCAGTTTCTAATTTAATGACACATGAACCACGCATCTGTTCCAGACGTTCAGAAGCAAGGTTACTTTCTCATAAACATACAAGATACATTCCACAATAATAACACTGTGGATTGAAAATACATGCCCATACTTATGCAAGGCGAGGAAAAAACATCACACTCCTCCTCTGATCGACATGGTTTAAACTCCCCTGATTTTCCACAGCACTATGAGACGGTTGCAGAAAAACTGCACTGCCACTGCAGGTATTCATGACCTTCACCTTAACTGTGCATTACTGAAAGGGGCAAGATTTGTCAGGCTCCCCTTCCTACCTTACCTCAACATAGTGGTGCAGCACCTCAGAAACAGTGAATTATCATTTCTGGTCTACCATTTAGCTGGCAAGCAAATCCTGGATTTGCAAGTACTAAATATACTACAGGATTAGTCTACTGAGTCAAAAGAAATGAAGAATCCCATACTGATCTCATTATAGGTGCTCATTCTTGAGCTCTCTGAAAAAAGTTACAGAATGTCACAAAAAGCCAGAAACTGCTAAAAAATCCTTAAAAAAATAAAACCACTCTGAAATTGTGCAACAGCCCCCCCCCCCGAAAACAGAAATTTTAAGTTGCAACTGTGTTCAAAGAGTTATTCCCGAAGACCACTGGGTACAGGTTACACAGATGATGTTCTCCTGCAGGTCTGGGACTCAGTCATGACATTGTGTGTGGTTTTTAGAGAGCATCAAACTAAGCAGTGACAGCCATCATAATCCTGAAAAAAGCAGCATGCACAGCAAGACTAATATAAATTTTAAGTGGTCTTGACATCTAATTTAACAAGACAGAGAGGTTAGGGCAAAACAACATGCAGCACTGACCAAAAAAAAGAAAACCTACATCCAGTTATTCAGTACTAATTCATATTCCTCCAGTTTTAATATTGGTATTCTTTCATCTTTAAAGTTAAATCCTTGTGAGACACATTATGTAGAAAAGTACATAAGCCTTCAGAAAACCCCTATAACGACCAAAAAATTTGGTCAATATGCACATCACAGGTTTGAAAGGTAAGACAGCCTTAAATTTAACTGATGCTATTATGTATTAGGTCAAACCAGCATACTTTGCACACCTTTGACATGTCACACAAGATCAGGGTCAGTCTTTTTTTTTTTCCCCTCCTACAAATGTTCTGCCAGAGCACTGTATCTACCAGGCAAGCTTGTGCTGGTACATGATGACCTTATATGCATATCTGATCGTTGTTCTTGGAACTCTGTACTGCATTTGTTAAAAAAGAACTCTCGGTATGAAGTAAGCAGAGTGAAAGCAAAGTGCTTAAAAAGTATAATTTTTTCAAACTTCTCTCAAATTCAGCTTTAACACACTCCAGCACAAAGTATTTTTTTGTGTTTAGTCCAACGTAATTTTTTGTAGTTTGTGTTAATGTGCTTATCTTCTATACTCTTTCACTCCAGTGGGCTACTCCCCAAAGCAACAAGAGCCACCTCCTGCCATCTGCTTTTGTTGATTCTCTGTAACTTGTCATCAGAGCTGTTAAAAAGAGACAGACACAATGAAGCAGCTCTTCAAATTAGCTCTTTGGCTACATTAGCCTGGCCTCAAATGTGCGTGAATGTTATTCAAAACTGGTCAGCTGTGAAAACTGCTGTTCCTTCTAAAGTACAACAGCAATTATACTTGGAAGAAATGTTTGCATTAATCTCTCAAGGTGAAGAAATCATCCTATATAGCATACTGATGTTTATTATGACCAAAACGGCAATCAGAACGCGCTGCAAGCACTTCAGCTCAGCAGGTCAACCCAACCAACACAAACCACCTCTCCCACCAACTTGAGACAGGCATCCCTAGTTGCCACTTAAAATGTTAAGAATTTTGGAATTTATTTTTTGCATCAGTGACAAGAAGTGCCTCAGAACCCAACCTCCATCTCTGGAAACTAAATTTAAAACACGGGAAGAAGCTGCAGTTGCCAGCAGCCCACCACAGCTACATCTAGTAACTGGGGTAGGACACTCCTGGCCCTTCCACACAGCCCTAGGGGGTTTCCAGCCCTGTGACCAGCCCCACTGGGATGGGCCACTGACCCAGTGTGGCTTCACAGCCAGAGCTTCCAAAGAGGCAGCCCTCAATAGATGTATTCGTTTTGGCAAATAACTCTGTGGTTAATACAGCTGAGCCCACACTTCCAGTCATTTTATTGCAAGAAAAACAAACCAGAAACTACCTGTGATGCTTCCCTGGCTGTGAAGGGCAGAAATACCCACACAAGCACACGCAGCCCTCTCCCCTGACAGCCTGCCTGACAAACTTTGGCAGAACAAGCTCCTTGAGTGGAGAGCTGCTCCCAGCACAGCACTGTCTATCTCTGCACCACACTGAAATCACGGCTGAAAACTGCTCTGTACCGTGCCACGGAGAGACAGGAATCTCCAGGGAAATGGCAACTGCAAATTAACAGCGAGATGAACATCAAAGCTAATGGCCTGAATGTGACTGATGTGCTCAGGTACAAACCACAGCATTCACGCTTCCTCTCCAGCTGGCTAGAGGAGCTGTGCACTGGGAAAGAAACCTGTCCCCTCTCTTGATGTCCAGGTGTTAAAAAGATAAGTTACTTGTCTGTAGAATTGCCCTGTTAAGGCTTAGGACTTCACATGCTTCAATGATCTCAGATCTAAGGAGTGGTTAACTAAGCTTTGGGAGAAGGATGTACTGATAGTGGACACAAAGAAGGCAGAGTTTATGGGCCACAAGGACATTATGCAGAACACCCAAGATAAGGAAGAAACTAACAAAGCCAACTCAGCAACTGTGCTGGAATCAGCTCCAACTGGATAAAAGGTAATAGGTAATTCTGGCAGAGGGATATCGTGACCACCAACTCAAGAAACCCACTAGCCCAAAAGAAGAGAAAGACTAAGCATGCAGACTAATAAACATAAGAAGCAAGACAATCATTTTACCAATAAAAGATAGTACACTCATTAATAAGAGAACTATGTAACTTGTAGCAAAGGAACGATAATACCTCTGTTTGCTAAAACGTATAAATAGTGAAAAGTTTTGACAGTCGTGGCGCTGGCTTTGCGGATTTGCCATCCAGCCCCCCCTTCTGCGCAGAACCGCAAATAAATCAAA